GAAGCCCCCATCACCATCACCATTGCTGTCATCCTCAGAGTCGGCCATCATCATCACACCAGCACCATCATCATCACACCAGCACCATCATCATCACACCAGCACCATCATCACACACACAAACATCATCACCACACCAACATCATCATCTTCATCGTCGTCCTCATTCCACCACTACTAACTATTCTTAAAGACGAACAGCGTGCCTGTTGGCAGCTGATCGGAGGTGGTGTAGAAGTTGGCCATGAGAGGTGCGATGTAAGAGGAGTAGGTGAGCATGGAGTGAGTCATCTCGTTTGTGTGGATGAATCCTGGATGCGTGCATGCATCGTCGTTGCTGTCCACCAACCACCAACCAGCATCATCAGCATTATTACATCGTCATCGTCATCATCATCATCGTCGTCGTCGTCGTCATCATCATCATCGTCGTCATCGTCTTGAAGGACTACAGTCGTCAAGATCACAAATATTTGCAGGGATAGATGGATGGACGAATGAATGAATGAATGAATGAATGAATGAATGATTAGATGAATGAATGAATAGATGGATGGAAAAAGTGGCGACGATACGATAATACAATGGAATGATAATGTTTAAAATTAATCGGCGCGATTTGTAACTGGAAAGTTTATGATTAAAATTTTTATGAAAAGATGATGGTGATGACGATGTAACTGTTGTTGATGATGATGATGGTGGTGGTGGTGATGATGATCTCACAAACCGCCAGTTGTTAGGACGATCTTATCAATGAGATGACCATAGAAAATAAAATCACCGTCCAATCTTAAAACCTGTTCAATTTTTGTTCTTTGCTCATAAAATACTGCTTCATTCATTTATTCATTCATTCATTCATTTACTCATTCATTCATTTATTTTATTCATTTATTCATTTGAAATATTTGAAATATCACTAAAAAAATTATTACAATACAATTGATAAATGATTGAACGAATAAATGAAATAAAAAGAATAAATGAATGAATGAATGAAGGAAGAAAGAAAAGAATGAATGAAAGAAAGCAATAAAACCAATGAACGAGTAAATGAATGAAATAAAATGAATGAATGACTAAAACTACAATTGAAAATTCAATGAACAACTACAATGAATGAACAAATAAATATTGGAAAAATTAAATTCATTAACTAAATTGACCTTTGCCCCCAGATGGTGGTCTTTGAGAATGACCTCTGGGGTCGCGGGGACATCTTTCTTGTCAACCCATCTGCTACTTTTGCTCAAACTGTAAGAGTAGTATGTGTAGTTCTCTTCCTAATTTTTTGAAATTAGTGAACAGTATCGTAAAGTTGGAACTACAATTGTTTAAATTAAAGTTTAAACTTTTAAAGAAACTTTGTTTGAAATACTTTTTTAAATGTTTAAAAAGATACTTAGCTCTGAATTTTGAGAGAAGATTAGAACTGCCCACCTGAATCATGAGTGTGTCGTTGTTGTGGATGTCAACCTGGTGACCAATTTTAATTTTCTTGCCGTCTTCTTTGCTGTCCTCTTCATTGTACTCCAGGCTATATTCCGTACTACCTGTTTTGTTTCGCGGTTGATTTGTTTTTCTTAACTTTTTGATATTTTTAATAAAATTTGATTAAATGAATCAATTTCAGAAGGCAGTCACGACTTATAAATTTATTAATTGATTATTCATTTCGTATAAAAAAATATTTTAGTTAAGTTAAAATGTGAAATGCTACTAACGAAATAAGCAGTTAGGAATTTATTAATTATTTGATAGTTCGATTTCTAAACTAGAAGTTTTACATTTTAGCCATTCCATCATTCTATTGTTCATTCATTCATTCATTCAATCATTAATTTATTAAAAAAATCCAAACCACTAGCTGCCCGAGGAGAAACAAAAAAAGCGAAGATGATTAAAAAAATGATTTGATGAGATATAAATGTTAAATTCATTTCTAATCATTAGTTTTATTATTAATATTTGTTAATATTTATTTATAATAATTTATCGTTTGTATTAATTATTTTATTATTATTTATATTTATTTGGTTATTTTCAAGTTCGGACGAGAAAAACAAACAACAAAAAAGACGTCACGTAATTAATTTGAAATGAACGGTTTAGGTTACCAAAGAACAAAAATGTTTTATTTATTTTTGGAATTTGTTATTTTAAGTTCACGTTTAACAAATTTAAAATTTTATTTTTCCTCTATTTAATTAAAAACGACTGATAAATTTTATCGCAAAGAATACGAAATGTAGAGGAGAATTGATTGATCAGTAAGTCAGTAAATCAATCAATCAATCAATCAAACTATTATCAAAAACTCTAAACGAAAAATAATTTTTAGTTTCGCGCTGGTAGCAGAGGTATATTTATAATTGACCGATCAGAAGAGCATGCCACAACAACAACAACAACAACAAAACAACAACAAACAACAACAACAATAATATTTATTAAATAAGACCAAGAGATACAATAATAACTAAGCGAATGGTTTGTCTCCGCGCGTATTCTTGTCATGGGCATTCAGAATGAAATACACAATCAAGATAGAAGGCATTGTTCTTTTGATACAACTTTCTCCGTTCGCTACTATAATCATTGTTTAATATAATTATTTAAAATAATTAACTCATTTTTTTCAAAATTTGTGCTTCAAGCAAGTAATGCAGGCACGCACTTAAACTTGCTTGGCTGACTGGATTGCTTTTTTAGTAATCTCGAGTTTTTGCATAATGGTGCCTAGCTATGAAGAAAATGACGACGACGATGATGATGATGATGTTGATGATGATGTTGATGATGATGATGATGGTGGTGGTGGCGCACTGATTCATTAGAGAAATAATTGTTTTAAAAGTTAAGCATTTGAAAGAAAAAAATCACTCAAACGTTAATTTTTGGAATAAATTATATAGCGTTTAATCACAAACAATGGGCCTTTTTTTGTTTTTTTTCTTTTATAACAAAATTAATTAGCTTCCTTTTCACGGTTTTTGGTAATTTTTTTAAAATTAAAAGTCTGTTTTGTATTTGAGCATTGAATCAGTGGGGCTTCCACTTAAGTTAGGATACGGTTGGCTGATGACGACGATGACGATGTTGTTGTTGTTGTTGTTGTTGTTGTTGTTGTTGTTGTTGTTGCTGTTGTTGTTGTTGTTGTTGTTGTTGTCATCATCCTCATCAACATCAAAACAACGACAACAAAAAACTGAATAAATTACTTTCGATTGAAAAATTATACAAACATAAAAAAATAAACACATAAACATCGTTGGAAAAAGTCGCATATATGTATAATTTTGTATTTATTGTTTTTGGTTAGCAGCACTTCCGGAAAAGATTATAAATCAGAAAAAGAGTTGCAACCTTTATATATTTTGTATTTATCTGCACACACATGTTTGTTCGATTGTGTTTCGTGTGGCATAATTTTAACGTCAGTGGACTTGTCAATGTGTGTGTGTGTGTGTGTGTGTGTGTGTGTGTGTGTGTGTGTGTGTGTGTGTGTGTGTGTGTGTGTGTAGGTTTCATTAAAATACCAGGAAATACAAAAAATAAGTATGAAACTTCACTTCAACAGCAACTGAGATTAAAATGATGAAGACGACAACGATGAAGATGATGATGATGATGGTGATGAAGATGGTGATGATGATGGTGACGGTAATGATGATTAATGAAGCCTTGGTCGCTATCAGTTGTAGACATAACAGAAATCTATTAACGAAATAATCGCCTCTAAATGCTATCCCCATTCCTATTGGCTGATCGTCAATTTAATCCGACCAATCACTGCCTCGCATTTCAAACTGTAGGAACAATGAACGAAGTGCTTTCATTGGTTGATCGACCTGCCAATCAAACGTCTTAAACTGTGAGATTTGAATGAGGGAGGCGTGGCTTAGCTCAGGTTAATTGAATCAGTTTGAGAGAGCTTTCAATCGGCTATTAATAGTAACATATCCTAGACTATTATAATAATCAATAAACTTGTATATGTATGCATGTATGTATCGATGTATGTATGTGTGTATGTATGTATGTATGTATGTATATTTGTATGTATGTATGTTTGATTGCTTATATAAGAGATGATGGTTTGGATGTTGCGACTGAATTGTTGCACCGCTCACGGAGTTACTCGTTTTCGTTATTTTGCATCGTTGGCTCTGCAATGTTGATTTCATTTTTGACCAGTTTCAAGACATACATGTGACGTGAACAACATCAACAACAACATCAACAACAACAACAACGACATCAACAACAACAACAACGACATCAAAAACAACATCAAAAACATCAACAACATCAACAACAACGACATCAACAACGACATCAACAACAACTTCAACAACAACAATAGCAACTGTTATTCATATCTAACTTAGGCTGTTTCGATTTTGAAAGCCCAGCAGAAAATGTTGAACAACTCAGATTACGAAGGCGGAAACCTCTTTTCAAAAATAATTCCCATCAGCAGCAGCAGCAGCAGCAGCAGCAGCAGCAAATCTAGCTTAAACAACGTGAACAGCTGCATTAATTGGGATGGCGCCGCTAGGAGCTACGTTCGGAGCATGAATGATGTCGAAAATGTTGGCAATGAAAAAGACAGGGCAGAAATTAATACACCATCACCATCGTCGTCAACAACAACAACATCAACAACATCAACAACAACATCAACAACAACATCATCATTATTTAATACAATTCCATCATCTGTTTCAACCATTTTCGCATCATCGTCGTCGTCTTCATCTTCGTCAGCATCAGCATCTCTGTCAAAAACAACCAGCGTTTTCTCTATAGACGCCATTTTGAAGCAGGAAGCGGACACGAAATGTAACGCCCACACGTCACCGAAGACACTAGATCAAAAGGCAGATGATAACGGAAATGAGAAGAGTGATGAACTAGACGGCACCAGTGGAGTTCTCAGCGACAACATCAACAGCATCAAGAACATCAATGACTTCGAGATCAACATAACCAGCAGTGGCCAGGTGAATCAAGAGGATTATGACGTCATTGAGAATGCTGATGATGACCTAACAATTCCTAAACAGACTTCACCAATGGCAGCCCGCTTATCATTTCAGTGTCCGCCATTTTTGAACGGAAGTCATTCGTCGGCGGCCATCTTATCGGCGGCCATGTTTTACAAACTCTTGGCTCAGAAACATTTTGCGAAGGATGAGTTGGAAATGTTTAAAATGAACAACAACAACAATGTTTTCAATTTTGCTGGCGTTAGCTTCAACAACAACAACAACAACACCAACAATAACAACAACAACAACAACAACAACCATAACATTAACAACATCAACCATAACAACATCAACAACATCAACCATAACATCAACAACATCATTAATAATAACGTCTTACAAACTTGTTCGCCATTCTTCAGTCCTTCAATTTTTTCATTTCCTTTCTCCGCCCTCCGTCACCACCATCCACCCATCCTTAAGTTTACCGGAAATAGATCGGCCATTTTTAAACATGGCGTCGGACCAAACTGTGATGATTATAATGGCGATGACGTGAAGAACAAAAGTAGAGATGTGACGAACGTCTGCGAGGCTAACTTTCCTCTGAAGTGTTACGTTAAAAATGACGTCACCGATGAGAAAGAAGACGAAGATGGCCATGGCAACAACAAAACCGGTGATGATGATAATGATGACGATGACGATGATGACGACGAGGATGAACATCACGTGATTGTTGATGATGATGATGATGATGATGATGCTGATTATGATGACGATGTACATGCAAGTGAAAATGCAAAATTGTTGGAGTGGAGCGAGAATGATGTGGTGGACTGCAAATGCCAACATCGTCCTCAACAACAACATCAACATCATCTTCAACATCATCTACAACAACAACAAAAACATCCTCAACATTATCAACAACAACAACAACAACATCTTCATCAACATCAACAGCAACAGCAACAACCGCAACAATTTTTCCTTCAACAACAACAACAGCAGCAGCAGCGAAACACAGAGCGGCAAAATTATCAACCCGCGTTCCACTTCAACTATCTTCAACAAAAACAACAACAACAACAACAACAACATCACCATCAACACCACAAATCTAATTTCGCCAAAAAATCATCATCCTCAACAGCAGCATCAGAAGCAGCAGCAGCGACCACAGCAGCAGCAGCAGCGAAACCTGTCCAACCAACATTACCGTGGCCGGCTTGGGTTTACTGCACGAGATATTCTGACAGGCCGTCATCAGGTGATCATCATCAGCACCACCATCAACACCACCACCATCGTCATCATCATCGTCTTCATCATCATCATTTTGTTACCATAGACATTCATAGATACAATTACTACACGCATAGCATAGCGTAGCTTAGATAGAGAAACTGCATGGTAGACACATGGTGGAACATTATTATTTATTGCGCTGTTATGTTTGTCGTTGTTCTATACACTGGCTCATTCATTTGCATATGTTTCAAATGATGATGATGATGGTGGTGATGATGATGATGGTGGTGATGGTGGTGATGATGATGATGATGGTGGTGATGATGATGATGATTTGACTGAGATAGCAATGATAATTAAGAGGCGGATTAGAACAAAAATGTTTCAAATTGACAGTAGCACTACCACCATCATCTTCATCGTGGTCGCCAGTACCATCAAAAGCAACAAAATCATCATCATCATAATCACCATCGTCATCATCATCACCATCGTCATCATCATCATCGTCGTCATCATCATCATCATCGTCATCAGCGCCAGCACGAAGCGCCTCATAATCAATTTAAAGTGATACGCACCGCTGCTCGCTTCAAAGATTTCATTGCCGTCATCATCATTTCCGGCAACAAAAACTTTAAATAACGCCCAGAGTATTCAACAATGATCTTTTTCCGGCTTCAGATATTTAGAGTTTTTGATGCTGTTTGTTGTTACCTTTGTTATTGTCTGCTTGTTTCGAATGTTGTTGTTCAAATATTGTCTGCATTATAAAGCCCGTTGTTAATATCTATGTTGTTGTTGTTGTTGTTGCTGCTGTTGCTGTTGTTGTTGTTGTTGCTTTTGTTGTTGTTGTTGATGTTGTTGTTGTTGTTGCTTTTAATATCCTTGTTTTTGTTGTTGCGTTAAAATTTGTACGTTGTTGTTGTGCTTGTTCTATGTTGTCATGGACGATATCATCATTAAAATTAGTCACATGGTCATCGTAATCGTCACGTCTGCTACCATCATCATCGTCATCATCATCATCACCTCCATTCTATCAACTACACAGAGCTATTGATTTCCGCCGTTTAATTATAAAAAGCATAGAAATAAAAGTTTAAAAACAAAATAAAAACTCTTCAAAAATTGATATTCATGATTTTTGGTGCACACGTCATCAGCAGGCAAGCAGCCGGAAATATGGCTCTTGTAATTAGAAGGCCGCCATTTCGAAACGATTAAGCGTTTGCCGGAAGTTGTGAATTGTGGGAAGTGGAACGGATGATGATGATGAGGATGGTAGGGATGATGATAATGCTTATTATTATTATTATGTTAGGTATTTACTCTACCATCATCATCATCAACAACATAAACAGCATTAACAACATTTGTTATAATTTTCAGGGCCTCGCTCAAGGAAGTGTCGCAGAAAGAACAACACAGCAGCAGCAGCAGCAGCAGCAGCAGCAACCACCACCACCAACAACAACATGACCAATCAGCAGCAGCAACAACAGCAACAGCAGCAGCAGGACGAAAAAAGACCTCGCACTGCTTTCACGGGGGACCAGCTAGCCCGATTGAAGCGAGAGTTTAACGAGAACAAGTACCTGACAGAGGAGAGGAGGACCTGCCTGGCCAAAGAACTGAGCCTCAACGAGAGCCAGATCAAAATCTGGTTCCAAAACAAGAGGGCCAAAATGAAGAAGGCCAGTGGGGTGAAGAACCAGTTGGCCCTCCAGCTCATGGCCCAAGGTCTCTACAATCACTCATCATCATCCTCTTCTTCTTCCTCCTCCTCCTCATCTTCCAACGTTGTCGCTAGGTGTCTTCCTGCCGACAACAACAACAACAATAATAATAATGATGGTGATCATCATCATCATCAGCAGCAGCACCGCCATCATAATTTTGACCAGCAGCATAACCACTTGGAGGCCAGCTCTGCTACCAGCCGTGCGACCGCTAATCATGCTTCTGCTTTTAAAAATGGCAGTAATAATGATAATGATGATGATGATGGCGATGATGATGATGATAATGTTATCAAAAATCATCATCACCACCAACAACAACATCTCCTTCACCATCGTCATCACCCTCATCATCACCCAGCACTTCATCATCATTTCAGATTGGGCATAACTCCGCTCCTCAATGGGATGGAGTACTAAGACATGAAGATGATGACGATGATGATGATGACGACGATGATGACGATGATGATGATGATAACGATAATAATTATAATGATAACAAAATTACAATTACATTCACAACTTAATTCTTTTTATTTCCTTCGTTTATTCATTCATTTATTGAAATTTAATCAGTTCATACACTCATTCAATAATTAATTAATTAATTCATTCATTCATTCATTTATCTGCCCATTCATTCATCTGTAATATTAAACACAGCATCGTTAAAACCCCATTATTTGGACACGAAATTTTTGCACTGATTTATTAAAAATTATTTAATTAATTTCTAAAACTGAACAAATTTATTTTTAATTAATTAATTATAAATAGTTTAATGGATTTTAATTAATTAATTAATTTGCACGTGTATTTGCGCCATTTTAATCGTTTCATATTTAGAAAAACTTGCTTATTTCAGGATTTTTCCATCTTCATTATTTGATTATTTGGTTGGTTGGTTGATTTTAAAAAAATTTCAAAACTCTTCTCTTTGTTTACAAATTTATAAGTAATTTGAAGTAAACAACAAATTCAACAACAACAATAACAAACGAACAATCCAACGAACAAATGAACGAACGAACAAGCAGACAAGCGAACGAACGAACGAACGAACAGCAGCGACATCCCCGAAAACACCATCAACAACAATTCGTAGCGAATCTAATTGAATGCATATCAATGATAAACAAACATCCTTCAATCAACGACGGCCAGACGTGTAATCCCCTGTCATCATCATCATCGTCGTCGTCGTCGTCAGCAGCAGCAGCTGAAGCGGCAACAACAACGACATCAGCATCGTCATCATCGTCAAGTGAGTCTGACACGATCGTTTGTAAAGATTTAAAAGACAAGAAAATGATAGGACGTGTAAATAGATGCTCTTACACCAATACACTCTTACAATGTATGTACGTGTGTGTGTGTGTGTGTGTGTGTGTGTGTGTGTGTGTGTGTGTGTGTGTGTGTACGTATGTATGTAGAAATATAAGCATGTATGTGTGTGTGGGTTTATTCAGGAAATACAAAAGTTAGAATGACTGTAAGTAAGGCCTAAACATATCCTTTTTTAAAACTGCCTGCCACCGTTCTCCCGGAAAGTCGATTTTCTCTCTCTTTTTTTCCTCTCTCTCTCTCTCTCTCTCTCTCTCTCTTTCTCTCTCATCTCTCTCTCTCTCTCTCTTTTTCAGCCAAACTGCGGATTAATATGCCAGGAAGGTTTGCAAGCAAATGAGCAATTACAAGCAAGTCACTTCTTCCTTAATATGTAGTTGGTTGGATGGTCCATCCTGATAACCATGATGATGACGATGATGATGATGATGATGATGTGGTGGTGGTGGTGGGGGTCGATAATGATGATGATGTGGTGGTCGATGATGATGATGATGGTCAATTTTATCATCATCTTTTTATTTCGATGTTTGGTTTGATTGGATGGAAACCTTTGAGAGGCTCACATTCATCTCAACCAACGAGGTAATGCATTTAAAAACACCAAACAAATACGCGGGCACATACACACACACACACACACACACAGACGCACAGACACACACACACAAAGACAGACACACATACATACTTGCACATGCGCACACACACACACGCAGACGTACACAGAAACAAATACCATGTCAGAGGATTAAAAAAATTGCGCGTTGTATGCATGAGAAGATTGAGAGAGAGAGAGAGAGAGAGAGAGAGAGAGATTATCAATCCGACACTATCCTCAATTTATTAATAGGTCATTCTCTGTCGTCATCGAGCAAATGATAGGTGATTGGTCGGAAATAACTGGGTCAAACGCCAGTGGTGACCTCATTATGATGGCGGCCATCTTGGCGTTGGGTGTGTGCGGCAGAGATTGCAAGATTTGGCGGGAAATAATGTTTTTGTTTTTAATGCTGCTGTTGTTGTTGTTGTTGTTGCTGTTGTGTTTTGTTTCATGTTATCGTTCTTACTGGGATTGCTTCGAATGTATCCACTATACTTATATAAATAGAAACACACACACAAACACAGGCATATACACATACATGCACAAACATACACATACATATGCACACATACACTTACATACACACACACACATACATATGCACACATACACAAACATACACATACATACACATACATATGCACACATACACTTACATACACACACATACATATGCACACATACACAAACATACACATACATACACAAACATACACATACATACACAAACATACACATACATACACACACACACACACACACACACACAGAAACGAAATGCGGACGATGCGTGTAATTTTGTTGAAATTCATTTCTTAAACTTCCCTTTGAAATCTTTGTTTCATTCGTTCATTCGTTCATTCGTTCATTCATTCACTCGCTCGTTGATTGTTCATCTATTCATCTATATATTCGTTCGTTCTTTCATTCATTTATTCGTTTTTTCATTCATTCCTTTACTCACTTGCTATTTAAAATTATCGTCATCCCTAAACAATAAAAGTATTTGTGGCTGTTGTTTAGAAAATGAACTACCAATCATTAACATCAACAACCACAACAACATCGTCATCAACAACAACAAACACAACAACATCGTCATCATCAACAACAACAACAACAGCAACAACAACCTCCTATATATTCTAACACGCCCAAAATATCAAATTCTGTATAACATTTCCTCCAAGTTGACACGACCGTGCGTGAAAGTATGTACAATTTTGCAGTTCACACAAGCCATCCTCTCCACCAACCTATGCAATCGCCACAACCAACGGCACCTTAAATGTTCAGTCAATTTCAGACCCCTTCAACCCCTTCTCTTGCATGGCGGGCCATCGCAATTACTACTGGGTACTTGAATCTCAGTGTTAATGCGGCCCTGACTGTGCCAATAACGTTGAAACAAAAGAGCGTAAAATGATCTGTCGAACCGCCAACCGGTACGTCTGATGACTTCTGGCAGTGGTTTCTGGAATGATCCTCTCCGTAAACTCAAAAAGAAAATTTTTGTTGCGTTAATTATTTAAAAAGTTATTCAACAAAAATGTTGGGGTCGTCATTAAAAATATAGTTTCACTCAATTACATACGTTTATACAATACTACATAAGCACAGTACATCCGTCACAAAAAATCGAAACTCCCTGATATGTATGTATGTATGTATTTATGTTTCTTTGTCTGTCTGTCTGTTTGTACGTTCAGTGCATGCATGCAAGCCTGTTGAGTGGAAGTTAATGAAGATTAAAGGTTAATTAATATTTTTGTATTTGGCCGATTGATAACACTGCTGGACGTTTTCGTCTGATTGTGTGCGTGTGCGAGTAACTGTTCGTCTGTCTGTGTGCGTGTTTGTATGTATGTGTATGTATGTATGGTGTGTACGTGTTCATGGCGATGATGATGACGACGACGATGGCGAAAATGATGACGATCATGAAATCGATACAGTACAAAACCACCCTTTTATATATCTGAGAACCTGGGGCTAACTCTTTCTTTAGTTTTTTTTCTCTCTCTCTCTCTCTCTCTCTCGCTATATATATTACATAATATTATATATATTCATATAATCTGATGTGTCTGTGTGCGTGTGTGCGTGAACGTCTGTATAGCACACAGCCGAACCTAATGAATTTGTTAGATCTTTCCACATGTGAATGTGAGCGCGAGTGAGTTTGTGTGCGTGTGTGTGTGCTTAGTGTTGAAACGAACAAACACACAAACAAACACGGACACATCGCGATAAATTAAACAAACACACTTGTATGCGAACAATAATTTAATTAACGTTAATGTATCAGAGGACAAATGAATGAATGAATGAACGAATGAAAGAATGTAATCTATCTAAATATCTTAGCAGTGTTGGTGATGAGATAGTGAAATAAATTGAGAGAGGGAGAGAGCGAAAAAGGGAGAAACTTGTATACATTCATTACAATCATTGAAAGGCTTCTTTATATCAAATTCTCGAATTGATGAAAACTAGTTCACCACTGAAGAACTCAATAACTTGTCGAATTTTGCCGATTCGGAAGAATTAAACAAATTCATTCAGTTAACAATATTAACAACATAACTATCCATATAGACCCACTGTTGAACAGAGTGGAAAGAACTCAATAACAAAATTATTGAGGAAATAATAATTGCAATTTGAAATATTTAACAATATAATACATTCGAGTTATGAATACATTGTTTAGAATACTAGCAGTAATGATAATGATGATGATAAAAATAATGATGTTGATAATGATGATGACGCCAGTCAATAACAACCTTAATTAATTTTACTGAAATAAAAATGAAAAACAACCGAGAAATTAATTAATTAATGAATCACAAATTATAACCATATATACATAAATATGAATAGGGCAATATTTTATGGACTGTTGACTGTTATTCATTAATTAATTAATTCACTCATTTAGTAATTCAGTCCAACAATCGATCAAAAGATCACTCAATAGATCGATCAATAGTAGAAGTCGTTCAAATCGTTGAACCTGTACATGAACGGATCGAAAGCACGACCCCCGCCTATGAAGAACTTGCTCATGAATTCAATCCTGCGAGATGATGGCCAAACAAGTTCAATCAATCAAAACGACACTTTATAATTGTGAAAAAAATTAATGAAACGTTCGTCTATATATTTGACTTTCGCACACATGCAGACAATCAGACAGACAGACAACCGACAAACCAGTGAAGTCTGAGAGTGTGAAGGAAAGCAGAGAGACCCTCCATGGCTAGGAGGATGACGGTAGTCATGACTGCCCAGGGTGTGAAGAAGAGGAAGAGGAAGATGTAGCCGTAACCATACCTTCCCCCCATCGTCAGACCCTGGTGTAGCACCATGCCCCAGAGAACGTCAGACAGTTCTGCGTTATTATTATTAGTATTATTATCTAAGTATTTATATAGCGCTTTTTAAAATGGAAGTTCTCAAAAGCGCTATAGAAAAAGAAGAATACATCATCACAAATATGCATGTATGAATTTATGTATGTCTCTATGTGTACGTGCGTGTGTACGTATGTTTGTATAACGAGCAGAAAAACTTACGAGCGTGTGCCAGACTTAAGGCCCACAATCGCAGATAGGATGCCGTGTGTGATATGCAACCTGTTATCATGATGAAGATGATGAGGATGAAGACGGTGACGATGAAGAAGATGAAGATGATGTTAAAAAAGATGACTCACCCAGACAGTACTCGATGGTATGGATGCATGAATTGATGAACACCTCCCCAAAACTGAACTCCTGGCCAACAAAAAGTTACAACAAAATTATCATCATCGTCGTTATCATCGTCACCGTCATCATCAACTCTGTTATCATCATCATTATCATCATCACCATCATTATCATCATCACCATCATTATCATCATCACCATCATTATCATCATCACCATCATTATCATCATCACCATTATCATCATCATCACTGCCTTCTTTTTCTTCCTGGCTCCCCTCTTGAGAAGTTCGTTTCTGATGCTTCCTGAACTGCTGTTCACCTCTCCTTCTCCCGACCTCGAAGACTGATTCATCTGATGGTGACGACGACGATGATGATGACGACGACAACCAGAAGAAGAATAGCAATCTCAAAACAAACCTGCATACGAAGGCCTCTCTGATGGTTGTCATGGTGATTGATGTTGATGATGTCATCATCGTCGTCGTCGTCACTGCTTCCGTTCTCATCGCCATTATGTTCCTCTCTCACGTAATCATCAAAGTTATCATCATCATCATCAGCAGCAGCAGCACCAACGCCATCATCATCACTTGAAACAATACCTCGTCCAGATCTTCCAGCTTTTCGAGTTTGAATCTTACCTCTCAACAACCTACTTTTTGATTGAAACCCCGGCCGTGAACTGGTTTTTGACCTTGAACTGGTTTTTGACCTTGAACTCAAAAGCATGACCTCGTCGCCTTCTTCATCGTAGTCGTCGGCATTGTTGTTGACGTCATCACCGTCATCGTGGTGGTTGTTGTTGCCCGAGAAGTTGCTGGTGGATGAGTCCCTACTCGCGAAAGAAACGGATCGCTGAATGATTGGTTGGTTGGTTAGTTGATTGATTAGTCGGTCGGTCGGTTGATTAGTTGAATGGAGGGGTTAATGAGATAAAGTGAGAATGGAAATGAAGAGAGAAAAGTGAGAGAGAGAGAAAGAGAAAAAGTGGCAATATAAAATGTTAATAATCAAGTCAGTAAAATATAGAAATGAAAATATAAAAATGCGAGCCAACAGAGTTCCTCTTCTTCTTCAGTTTGAACCTCCTGTTGAGAACGTACGGCTTGATGAAAAGCATCCAGGGCACGCAGATCAGAGCAAACAGTATCAAACTTATTTGCAGGATTTTCTGGAGAGATGAAGATGGTCAAGGTGATAATAGTAAAGGCGAAGACGACGGCGATGATGAAAACTTAGATAACATGCAGTCAAAATTGACAGTACAGACAGGAATGCACAACAAGAAAGACAACCCACCTTGGAGTGTCCGACGACTGCATGCGGTGGATCAGTTGGATACACAAAGAGGAACATGTTGATGAACCCTGTTCAACGATTTAATGAAAGATTGAATGGAAGACTGAACAACATTCTTCTATATTGCTCTTTTGTGGTCATTCGTTCATTCTTCTCAATAAAATAAATATTCTTACGTCAGTGCGGAACTCAACAACCATTGAAATTCCGACCTTCAACAACAATCCAATCCAATAACCAATCAAAACTACACAGCCCACAAAGCAGCCAGCCAATTGCGAGCCACTCAGCCAATCAACTGACCAATGAGAAGGCTGGGAGCGGAATTAGAGGAGCGTGCATCGTAGAAGCACCACTTGTGGATGATGAGGACGATCAAGTAGCCGAACGTGAAGCAGAGGAAGATGACTTGCGGCACAAAGAGGCAGATTATGTTCAAGTATCTCTTGAAATGCCTATTTTAAAATTAACCTAATTATGAATATTGGTTATAATTTTTGTAATAAACAGTCAGGGTTGTAAACAAAGTAGTAGGTAGCCTCTAAGATATCTACAGTGTAGTTAGCGCCGCGACATTTATTGAGCAGAAGCCACATTGAAAGGCGTGCTAATTTTGAAGCTAAAACAACATCACCCGTCCTCGTTACGACTAATTTTAAAATAAAATTTTTTTTCTTTAGATAGTCCGAATTAATTGATGATCATTCAATCTGAAAAACTTTAATTGAATTTAATTGATCGTACGAATTATTTAATGATCCTTCAATCTGTTTTTAACAAGTAGCGTTGACGATTCCGACCATACTTTTTCATGTACGTAGCGGTAGCGAGGCCACAAACCACTTGCAGTGGCAGTAGCAGTAGCAGCAGTCGCGGCGCTCGTTTCAATCCTGTGAAAAATAATGATACTGAAGGGACTGACAGATGGTTCATGAGGGAGAGCAGGACTCCGAAGAGCATGTGCAGGACCCCGAAGATGACTGAGATCTTCATCTTGTACGAGTTCAACCAGGATATCTTGTTGGAAGCCATCTGCCAGGTCTGTGCAATGATGGATGGAGTGAAGAAGAAAAAATGGAAAAGAAATGAATGATAGAAAGAAAAAAATTATCCAAATGTATATTCTTAACGACTGTCCAATGAAAATCAGCTAACCAATCAATCAACGTGATTCAAGCAACCCCATTCAGTCAATCAGAATCAAGCCCCAACACAATCAGCCAATAAAATAGAAGCATACATTTGAAATTGAACCAATGAACTTACAGGATCCATCCCCATGGTGTACGGAGACCTACTGAACATATCCTTGCGCACGGGATCCAATGGCTGGGCGTCTTTCATCTCAGTCCTACAAAGGTGTCAACCGATGTGGTGCTGATGCGTTGAAAACTCACAAAAAGAAGTTAACTACTTGTAAGGGAGATGGTTGGTAACCATTTTTAACCACACTTTTAACTAATGCCCGGCAGGTTATTACAATAGTTAACTACTTACTCTTTAAAATTACTTTTCAATATCGCTCAGACATTTTATATCTGCTGAAAGCCGAACATATACGTTTGATGAACGAGAACAGATCCCCATATCATGTAATTCACTGTGTATTTTAATTGCTTCTGTCATATTTTCATGTGCAAATGATCTTAATGCAAAGAGATTCAAATCTTAAAATGCATTCATCTCAGCTCGACAGTCAACGAATGAGACGCAAGAACGAACGAACGCATGCACTGGCAACAAGCACGCATTAAAACATCAGTACCCACTAATACGACACATAAGAGCAGACTAAACGTCTTAATATACTTGAAAACACAAATTTCAAAGTCGTGAAGCTTGCTGTTAGGCCTGCTAGTTTAAAAGTAATTAAGTTATAACGAAGAGCCCTATCGGTAGGATAGATGGTCCCATTGACGATATAAACGATAACATTCTTCTTGCTTCAGTTCATTTGGATGGCGACGACCATGATCACAACAGCCCCAGGACCACAACAACAACAACAGCAACAACAACAACAACAGCAACAACAACAACAACAAACACTAACAACAACAACAAACACTAACAACAACAAAACTAACATAGACATGTTGTTAGCAGACCATGATGACCCGAACAAGTTGAGAGGCTTAGCGAAGCAGTCGTTGTACATGATGCCGGAGTACATTGAAAACGTCCCCATCAGCAGTATAAGATACCTGGCTGTGAACCCCATACGGAAGATCTAGAGTTGTTAGTGGATTGATGGATGGAAAATGAAAAAATGAAACAGGAAGAAAAAGAAATAAAGAGAAGAGAGAAAAAGAAGAGTGTAAATGAGAAAAAGAAACAAGGCAAATTTGCAGTTTGTTACAGCAGTTGATCAGTTTATAGATCAATGCCTTCATTCAACCATCTCCTTTCATTTACAATTCCATCCATCCACTAATCCACCCACCTCGTTATTCATGAGAGCTGGTGGGAATTTTTTCTGGCCCACGATGAGGAAGAGGCCGAAGAGGGCGAGCAGGAAGCCGTGCCCCAGGTCCCCGAACATCAAGGAGAACAAGAAGGGGAAGGTGATGATGCTGAATGGGGCTGCGATGATGACGTCATCAGGAAAGTAATGATGACGATGGTGGTGGTGGATTTAAAAAATGGGAATAAACAATATAGAAAGATTGATTGCAGCATGCCTCACCAACCAGGATTAATCTCCATGTAGGCGGGGATGCTGTAGGCGTTGATGATTGCTTGGAAGACGCCAGTGACCTGGTTCTTGGCATGGTAGGTTGGAGGCACACTGGACGTCGAGATGCTGTGCAAGATGGCCGATGATGAGCTCATCCCACTTTTTTCCTGCCGGTAACATTTGCGAAGGTGGGTCGTCAACATTCGCGAAGTTAGTGCCAGTAGATGACAGGAAACAATATTCAATTGATGAACCAAATCAAACACAACAAAAAATCAGCCAGGCAGTCAGTCAACTCACAGTTCCTATATATAGAGTATTTTGAACGTGGTTCAACTCGTTGGTGGGGCACCAGCACCGCCCGAACAAGGTCTTCAAATTTTTATCGTGCCGCAATTTATTGAGCTGGTGGTAGATGGCCTTCGTCTTGTGCACTCCGATGGTCCAGGTCTGGATGTCACGTGAGGCGTCCCTCAGCACCGAAAGCTGGTGGTCCTGCGTCTGCTTCAAGACCTGTACAGAGAGAGAGAGAGAGAGAGAGAGAGAGAGAGAGAGAGAGAGAGAGAGAGAGAGAGAGAGAGAGAGAGAGAGAGAGAGAGAGAGAGAGAGAGAGAGAGAGTGGGGGGGAAAGAGAAGAGAGAGGGAGAGAACAGAAAAAAAAATAGAGAAAGAGAATGGAGGAAAAATAAGAATAGTTCTTTAATGTCCAGTGTTAATTATGTTTATTTTTAAAAACAAAGAAAAAACTAAACAAGCAACAAATCAACAAAATAAAACCATAAAGAAATAGAAATTCAACTAAAACTTTAACAAAATTATCGAGAAAGAAGATGATTACTATATTCAGATCTTCTAACCGGCTCATAACACCAAGGGCCATGTTCCTACGCTCCAGTCTCGTTTCAGGGCAAGGGTAAATAGTGGCATGAAATCTAATTGGTCATTGAGTTACATTGCTGTTGTTTTGGATGTACAGGTGCATGTGTGATGCTGTTTTTTCGCAATTGTTATTTATAATTAGTTGTAAAGAGTTGTAATAAATTGCAATTGAAGTCATAAAAATAATTCACTGTAGAACTCACCCCTCGCACATTTTGAGAACCTTAGACTTCAATTGTTCACCTTGAAAGAAGATGAGGAAGACAGTTTTGTTCAGGTCACTATCATGGTTCAACTAAAATATTAATAGTTATTATTATTATTACATTTATCACAACTATAATCAAAGTTTTATAAGAAAATATTTTCGAAAAAATGGCAACAGCAGGAGAGAGGGGAGCAGCCATCGTCAAGGGCACCTGCGTGTATTCGTTGGGTACGGAGAGTTGGACGTCGACGTATTTGAGGAGGACGTTCGAGTGGCAGACCCTGAAGAGCATCCTCTCGAAGGCCATCATCTTCTTCTTCGGCAGCACTCCCGCTATGAAACTGTCGTCAAGTTATTTATTTTAATAGATCTAATCGTTAATGCGCATCTTCACCACAATTCACTTCATCATCGTCACATTCACCATCATCTTTCTCTCCATGTAATAACTCAGAAACCAACTTCAACTTGAAAGACAGCGTATAAGCATTGTCCTGTTTGTTGAAGGCAGACCCCTTTGACGCCAGAGCAGCACCAACTTCTCTATCGTTACCTGACAGGAACGTGACCGTCGAGTAATCCTGGTTAGGGAGTTGGTGCTGTCGCAGGCTGTTGGCGCTTGGTTTGTACAAGACTGAGTCGTCGGTTCGTTGGTCGATCCGCGAGTCTTGCTGTCTGCTGTCAACCTCGTCGAAGAATGTTTGAGTTTTCCTGAGCAGGTGTTTCAGTTCTGTGAGGTTCGTGTAGTTCTGAGTTAAGAGTCCTATGCTCGACTCGATGCTCCGCACTTCTCTCTCCAACTTTTCTATGCGAGTCTGTCGTAGTTTGAGTCAGTTTATCAATCGGTAAAATTAGAAGTTTCATCTTATTCGTCTATTCATTCATCATCAACTATTCATTTAACGTACCTAACAATCAGCAGTCCAATCAATCAACGTATTAATAGTTCTCTGATTATTAAAACTCATCGGTCCGGGGACTCTGGTATTGAATTGAGTAGGCAGGACGCAGACCACCGACTGACAGGTGCGCAAGAAAATCCGTACACGCGCAAAAAAAAACACACTTTGCAATTTTTATTCAAAATAAAATAACGACAAAAAACGTTTCAGAATTTTAAAACAAAAATTTCTGTGCGACAAATGAGCTTGCTCTTTTTCAACATTTCCTCAAGGCGTGGTGCAATGATGACAGTGCCACACGTGGCGGTGAACAAACTTCCGAACAGTTCCTGTGCTTGGTCTTCATCAGTCATGTATGAAAAAGAGAGTTAACAGAACAGGGTAGAAGGAAGTAAGAGAAGAGATTTTATTGCTCTGTCTGTGAGCTACTGGCATTCTACCTTAATGGTGATCCAGAAAGCGGTGAGTAAAGATGCGTTTTCAAATTCCATCTTCAACTTTTGGTCAGCAGCAAGCTACGAAGGATTGTTTTTCAATATAACGGTCAAATTATCTTCAATTCCAACAAAATAATTCCACTTCGACAGGATGAAAGTGTACTTTCATTACTTTCATTTTCAGGCTAAAAACAAATCGTTCCAGGGCAATCAAAATAATATTAAATTATAAAAAAAAGCTTAAAAAATTTATTACGTTCCAACCAATGGTAAACAAAAGATATTATATATATATATATATATATATATATATATATATATTAGATGTATATGCTATCTTAACAAACGTCGCAACTGTTCATACTTTCACGCCTTTCTTCAGTATTTTAACAACGTGTTTAAACAGCGGAACGTGCTCATCTCAACAATTAATTAATTTCAACATTTCTTGGCAGCCCGCCACAGACCGCACCGCTACCTGTTGCTCTGCAAACTGGAACAGGTGCATTGTAATGAAACATTAATTCATTCACTCATTCAATCAACCATTCATTCATTTTCCACTCAATCTATCAGGCGGCCACCTCGTATTCGGCCAGCATTCTCGGATTGACGGGTGGAACGTGGCTGACCAGACCCATTGGTGGCAGTTGGATGTTCTTCTTCTTCATCTCACTCATCAAATATTCTGCATGCATGCATCAACATGAATGAATGAATGGATAGATGGATGGATTGATAATGAATCGATGAATGAATGGACGAATGAATGACTGAATGGATGGATGGATATATAAAAGTATAAACAAATGTGAGCAGCATTGAACAGACAGTCGAACAAACCAGAAATTAAAATGAGAATGAAATAAATGAACAAATGAATGTATAAACAAATAAACAGACAAATAAAAAAATAAATAAATAGACAGTTGATGAACGTTGTGAGTGATGATGGTGAGAGAGGGAAAATTAAAAATAGGAACGTGATAAAGTTGATAATTGGAAACCCACTCATCTGCCTCTCCAAGTTTTCACACCTCTTCACTTCATTATAAAATTTCCTTTTAAACACTGTATCTTTCTTGTTCAACTGTTTTCAAATGTACAAAAATATTAAATTATAAATGAAAAACTGAACACATAAAACATAACATTTATATCAAATTCAAACTGAACAATTTAAAAATTAGGCATTGAACAAAGTATTGCCTAAGATCACAGCCTATTCCTACATTCATAGCACATTCCTACATTTACAGCATACACAGCACATCCCTACATTCACAGTACACTTTCGCAATCAAAACACATCCCTACATCTTTGAAATTAACAAGTCCTATGTCTCCAAGTTCAGCCATGCAGTTGAATGCGACATCATCAGTCAGAATCAGCTGACACATAGACATTGGCTCACTCCTATACACTGACATTTCGACCTGCTAGTGGAATCAATGAATTGAAAACTTTTCTCATAAACCAAATAAGAGAAAACATGAGGCCTTTTATGTTCTTCTTGTTTAATAAATTAAACTAAAAATGTATTTAATGACTTTTTTCATTTTAAAGGTTTCAATTTTTAATTATGCATTCATTTTAGTCTTATCTAATCTAAATAAATCTAATCTATAAATTAAATTCCATAAATATAAAATAAATAAATTATAAAAGTAAATACAAAATGCAACTGAGAAAAGAAAATGAACACTTGAACCTTATTAAATTACTAAACTAAAAGTAATAAAAAATGATGAATAACAACTGAACAACTCGTTCTTTCTGGTTCACATTCAACAAGATTGATTACTGTACTATTCTGTCTCTTTTACAATTTTACTTAAAAATGAAATAAATGCTGACTAACAACTTAAAAACTACTATTCAACTACTAAAAACTAAATACTTGGAAATTTTCCAAATGCTAACTTTTAATTTAATTTAAACGAAAAAACTGTAAAACCATTAAAGAATTTTTGTAGAAATTAACCCACAATTAATCAAGAGCAACAAAAATCTATCCTAATTATGTAATTAAATTGAAAAATATTAAAAAAGGAGAGTAGTATGTTTCAATTTAGAGTCATTTTCATTCAACGATTAGGAAATAATTCACTTTTAAATCTTCGTGTCACTGGGACCAAATCAGGGATGGATAGAAATTAATTTGAAATCAGTTTTAAACATGTCCCGTTCAATTCACAACCATTGTGTTGCTAATGATTTTTCTAATAATTCTTCGAATTTATCAATGTTAAATCAATTGATTTTATTATTCCATCACCCAAATCTTATCAATTATTAATTTATAGATAATATGTGCCAAAATAAGGATATATTCTTGATTATTTTAATGAAATAAATGCTCATAAAGAGCCAGAACGGATACATGTGATGTTTTCATCTTATCAGATTTATTAATTAAAAAGTAAAACAGAAAATAATGATCAAAACAAATAAATCACAAAGTTTGAAAATGTTAAATTGTGTTCAAGATCATTCGCCTCTGAGCAAGCCAGTTTATTCTGCCGGTCCTTTTTAATTCTCAGAAGATCGCCATCTTTCAGCCAAACCATCTTCGCGAGGAGAATTTTTTTGAATTTGTTTCCATTTGCGTGAATCTGGGCACCCATGAAATGCGCCTCACCACCGACCAGCGTGAAATTTCGCTTCTCTACGTAATTCATTCCCTCGTTAAAATCCGACAACTTGTCGATTCGAACCCAAAAACATTCGGTCGGTTGTCGGTATATGAATTGAACGAATGCCGTTATTCGGTACAAACCGTCGGCTTCTATTCGAAGAGATCCGTCAGATCGGTTAAATTGTACAGCCTCTCGTGTTCCGTTAATGTGATGGATGTTTTCAAAGGATACCGAATTGAATTCTTTTATTACTTCATTGTCCAGGTCACCTGTCCATGGTAATATTAGTAACGTCTTCTATACTACACACATACATACACAGACAGACACACACACACACACACCACACACAGACAGACACACACACACACACACACATACATACATACAAGTACATGCAAAACATACCAGTGCCATTATATGTCAGTTTAAGGCCGATAGTTTTGAGAAGATGTCTGCTTGGAGTGTTCGCGTAAGATTGGGGTTTCTAGAAATTGGATGGATGGATGGATGGATGGATGGATGGATGGATGGATGGATGGATTGATGAATAGATAGATGGGTGAACAAGTAAATGAATTAATGAATGAGTAAAAAGATAAAAATAAAAGAAAATTCAAGAACAAAGAACCAAACAACATCGAGAACAAAGACTAACGGCCGCAAGAAAAGTAGTAATGACGGCAATCAATCCGACGATGATGTTGACGACGATGACGACCGACAGAACGATAGAACGACGTTTCCTCCAACTTTTCCTCGCTCCTTCACTGAATTTGAACTGCGGACTGGAACTCAAAACATTTTTCGTCTGGTCGTAGTGGGCTTTCATCTCGCTGATGAAGGGCGATTGAGACCTGAAAAGAACCTTCGAGTTGTCTCTCTTCTTCTTCTTCGCCGCTGCTGCTGTTGCTTTTTTCTGGGGAGTCAGCGTCAATGATTTAGACCGCTTGCGTGTTGTTGCTGGTTTTTTGATGTTGCTGTTGTTGTTGCTGTTGTTGTTGATGTTGTTGATATCCAGACTGCGAGATCTGTTAGCTTTGTTGTTTGAGATGTCATTGTTGATGTATTGGATGTTAATGATGTTATGTTTTGGAGTGTTGTTGATGTTGTTGTTGTTGATGTTATTGTTGTTATTGTTGTCAATGTTGTTGTTGATATTGTTGTTGATGTTATTGTTGAGCAGAGGTTTGTAAGAGCGAGCCTCAGAATAGATTGGCTGTCGGGCTGGTACGCTCGGAGGTGATTCTTCTTCTTCAGTGTTGTTGTTGTTCGTGTTGTTGTTGTTGTTGACTATGTTAGCGCAATTCTTCATATTATATTTACTATTTTTTGTGTTATTCTTTTTCTTTGCTTTCGAACATTTCGGCGATGAGAAGGTTGTTGTTGTTGATGTTGTTGTTGTTGCTGCTGGTCTTGGAGGAATAACAGGTGGTGGTGTTGATAACCCAATACCATCGTCGTCTTCCATCCTATCAATCAATCAATCAATCAATCAATCAATCAATCAATCAATCAATCAATCAATCAATCAATCAATCAATCAATCAATCAATCAATCAATCAATCAATCAATCAATCAATCAATCAATCAATCAATCAATCAATCAATCAATCAATCAATCAATCAATCAATCAATCAATCAATCAATCAATCAATCAATCAATCAATCAATCAATCAATCAATCAATCAATCAATCAATCAATCAATCAATCAATCAATCAATCAATCAATCAAACAAACAAACAAACAAACAACAATCAAACAATCAATCTTCGCAAATTTAAAATTGTACGCTGCTGATCCCTACAGTTACAAAATTAACATTATCTACTCAGTAGGAAACATTATTAACAAATGAACGAAACATCCCGAACTAGAAACAAGGTAATTTTCTCTCTCTCTCCCTCTCTCTCTCTCTCTCTCTCTCTCTCTCTCTCTCTCTCTCTTTATAATTACATAAATTATGAACAGGACGATTTACAAGTAGAGCACTTGACTCGAACCACCGTTTATATTTAAAGAACAATTAATTAATTATGTTAGGATGATGCTGATGATGATTGATTGAACATTCTATTTTCATTTCATTTAACAACAGCCAGAATCCCATCATGGCTTGTATGGTTTTTAAAAATAATTACAACAAAAACGCGAGTCAGTTCTTTAATGTTGAAACAGAATGAAGGGAATAGACGATAGTTTTAAGATGAAATTAGAAAATTCATTTTTTGTTGAAGTTTTGGCCTTTTAAAATATTTTCCAACATTAAAAATTTCATTCTCGTCTTCTTCAGCCTATCTGCGGAGAACTTTTGAAACTCCCCACAAACAATAACGCTAAATTCGTGGCTGCAACGTTCGAGTGCCTGTACCTCTCTAATGATGATCGGTCCCGACGCTTCGTCATCTGCCTCTGCAGTTCATCTAATTTATTTCCACGTGTTTCGGTGTAAAAGTTATTTCAAAAACTTGGTTATAGTAGTATAATTTGATGACGACGATGACGATGATGACGACGATGATGGCATGTTCCGGCGTGCGTGAGTGCATGAATGCACGGATGTTGGTATGTTTCTGCCGATATATGAAACCTTGTCTGCATAAACATTTGAAAAAAATACAAAATGCGTTGTGATTGGTCAGCCAGTCAGCCAATAGGAACGCAACTTTATCCAAGTGCTCCGACAAAACTTCAAGTGGACAAATACAATAGGACAATTTGTATCGGACGTGCAAGTGTTCGCTTACGTACATGCATACATGCATACGTACAATACATACGTACATACATGCATGCATACATAGGTACAAACGTACATACGCACATACAGATGAACAAGAATATATAAATTGAAATTCATCCCAAACTTACGAAAAAATTAATCAAAACAAATTCACTTTTAAAGTTTTTATATTGAAAAAATAAATAATAATAATAATAAATATTACCAATAATAATTGTTTTTTAGTTTTTTTTTAAATCATAGAAGTGAAAATACTGAACAGAATGTTCTCAATATCAAGCCTTCTTCAATTAACAAATGAAAAACAAGCGACATCATCATTATCATCACCACCCCCACGGTCATCATCATCATCATCATTACAGGATGATGATGATGATGGTGGTGCCGGTGATAGTGGTGATGACGTCATTGATGACGTTAAGCTAGCTCTTATGGTTTCGGATGCTGAAGTTTCTATAAATTCATCCTCATCATCACTTTTATCATCATCATCAACAACAACAACAACAACGAAATCACAGAAGACTTCAAAATCTGGACACATATGGTCGATTGATGACATATTGCAAAACAACTGCTACAACAACAACATCAACAGCAGCAGCAACAACAACAACAACATCGATAATGAGGATAATGAGAATAATAACGTTATAAAAAACTTTGATGATAAAAATGGTGAGGATGGTGCGACTTTTGATAAGTTTTATAGTCAACATTGTCATCATAATGAATTAAATCAACAGCAACCTCAACAACAACAACATCAACAACATCAACAAACACAACATCAACATCAACAACAACACTATTTTCAACATCATCACAAACATTCGCAGCGCTATGGTCAACAACACTATCAACAACTAAATCATCAACAACACCAACAACAACATCAAAAACAGCATCAACAACAACATCAACAATCTCAACAACAATATCAACAATTTTATTTGAAATTCAACAACTTAAACGATTGCAAAGATAAGAAAATCTGCATTAAAACATCCGAAAGTTATAATCAAAGTGAAATGAATAGCAACGCATATCACAACAACAACAACAATTACTATCACAGAACTATTTATAAAGCACGTGACTCAACTACAACAACATCAACAAAAACAACAACAACAAATTCCAGAGTTAACATTCAGCAGGCATCGTACAACGCTTACTACATGTACCTCAACTATTTGAAATATTACAACACCACCAACAACAACATCAAAAAAATTTACAGCAATACCACATACAACAACAACGACGACAACAACAACATCAACAACAACATCAACAACAACATCAACAACAACATCAACAGCCACACAAATGCATACTCAGATGAGGATTGTGACAAAATTGTTATTGTTGACGACGATGACGTAGACGAGGAAGAAAATAATGTTACCAAAGACTGTGTTTGTTGCAAATGGACAGCAGCTAATAAAGTTGGATTCTGCACTAGGATTTGCAATTGTAACATCAGCAACAGCAACAACATCCACAACAACAACATAAACAACAACTACATCATCAACAACAGCAACAAACTTAATGTAATTGCCCTAACATCTCTAACTTCTACAAATTTTGGAACACACATTCGTTTAAACCGGCCAACTTCAACGACATCAATAACATCAACAACAACATCAACAAACACGCTTGCAGAGGCATCTCATTTCAAGTCATTGCAATATTTTAGCGAGCAAAAACTGCAGCAACATCGTCAACGATCATTTCATCATCAACAACAACATTATCATTACTACAGCAAACAAAATTTCCAGTTACTACAAATACAACAACATCAAAAACAACAACACCGACAACAGCCACAGCCACAGCCACAACCACAGCCACAACCACAGCCACAGCCACAACCACAGCCACAGCCACAACCATCGGAATGCACAGAATGCGGCAAATCATACATGACGTCAGGCGCTCTGAAAATGCACCTTCGAACCCACACCCTCCCGTGCAAATGTCTCATCTGTGGTAAGGCCTTTTCCCGCCCATGGCTTCTTCAAGGTCATTTGAGAACCCACACGGGAGAACGACCTTTCGTCTGCGCCCTCTGTGGAAGGGCCTTCGCCGATCGAAGCAATCTGAGAGCGCACTTTCAGACTCATTCTGATAGGAAGAAATATTCATGCGATGCCTGCCCCAAGACCTTCTCGAGATTGTCGTTGTTGGTTAAGCATAAACTTTCGTGTGGTGGTGGTGGTGACGTTGGATGAGTGGCGTGATTTGTTAACCATTTCGCTTGCTGCTTTATTATTTCAAAAATTGTAAATGAATTTTAAAATCGTTTTATTGTCATTAATTAAAACCATCCTACTCGTCATCGTCATCATCCTCTTTGTCATCATCATCTTCTTCTTTTTCTTCCTCATCATCTTTTTCTTCATCATCACCATCGCCGGCCGTCATCAAAGAAGTTGCAGTAGCATCTCCTCCTAAGAAGCAGCGCGCCACTTGACATCACCATCAGCAACAGGTCAGCGTGCGTACATGATTGAATTGCGTCTTCCCAATACTACTACTACTACTGCTGCTGCAGCTGCTACCACTGCTGCTGCTACCACTGCTGCTGCTACTGCTACTATAAAAATACTAGAGTGTCCGCTAAGAATAACCTGCGCGTGTGAGAGAAGAGTAGAGAAAACACGACAAAATGAGAAAAAGAGAGAGAGGGAGAGATAGAGAGAGGGAGAGAGAATACAGAGATAAGTACACTACATCTCGACGCGAAATAAAAATATTTATGCACGTTGAAATGTCTAAGAAGATGTCTGATAGGTTACAATAAAAGAAAATGAGAAAACTTCCCATATTAAATATTTTTGCTGCTACTGCTACTACTACAACTACTACTAGCTCTGCTACTACAACTACTACTAGCTCTGCTACTACAACTACTACTACTACTACTACTCTAGTCTGGTTAAAGATGATTTCAGTGCATAGGCAAGATGCAAATTTGTCTCTTTGTATTGTTTATACCGAAAAAGGAAAGAAAATAATACAGAATATTATTTATTATATTATAATTATTATATAAAGGTGTGGGTTATTAAAAGCGCTTCATCAACTTATGAACTTTTATGAAATAAGTTTCAATTCAAGTTCGTCTGTAAACAGGTTAATCAGTGGTGGTTGCATTATAAATATTTATTTTAAACTGTTCTATCATCTAAACCAGGGGTGGGCAAAGTATGGCCCGCGAAGCGATTTCATGCGGCCCGCGGGGACTTGTTCGCCAAAAAAGGTCCAACATTAGGAGTTCAGACTTGTTAACAAAAAAAAGAGCCACAAATTCTTAAAAATTCTTCTCCGGGGTTGAAAAAATTAATATTTTAGGACATTATGCGGCCTTTCGAAGTAAAATATCAATAGTTCTCATTGCGGCCCTCACAGCAAAAAGTTTACCCACCGCTGATCTTAACGCGCTGGAGCTAGATGGCGATCGAAATTTACTGCTGGCTTACGTTTAAAACCGAGACTGATAATGTTTTTCAAAAACTACTACAACTATTACTGCCCAACAACTACTTCTACTGTTACAACAACAATAACAGCAACAATAAAAACTGCAACAACAAAACTACTACTACTACAACTAGTACAAAAAATTTCCAACAGTAACGACACTGATGATTGAGTGGAAGGGTATCAAACTAATCATCGCATGTACAACAACTTGTGCGAGTGTCTGCGTGTGTGTGCGTGTGTTTGTATGCGTGTGCGAGCGTGTGTGCAAATACTTTTTGTGTTCCATAAAATTGATTGCGTTATCGGATGCAGCAAAATAAAAATGAAACTTTTATGCAGAAAAAAGTTCAAAAAAAATTGTTGATGAAATTTGCAATTTAAAGTATTGTCAAGTTGTACCATCGATCAAGTAACCAATCGCTTCTCATTATTCAATCGAAGCACCAATCAAAAAGAACCAATCAATCAAGTAGCCAATCGAAAATCACAAATCAATCAAGCGACTCTTTTAACCGATCAATTCAAATTCTCCAAACTATAAAAACTAATAAACTCAGACAAAACTATCGACCAACCAACCAACCAGCCAGCCAGCCAATCACTCAACCAAACGAGCAGCAGTAGCTACCAAGATCGTTGACATCATAGAGTCTGCCGTCTACCACGGCTTCTCCCTCTTTGGATATCTGCCCCTGCTGAATGGAGGCATGCAACATCCAAAATATTTTCAACAACTGCTTGTCTATATTCTCGCCGGTCAACGGCGGTAAAGTTGGCTTCGGAACAACTGGCCGACGGTTGTTCGGTCCCAATGTGGTTGAAATGTTCAGAGGCAAAATGGTCAGATTGGTTTCTTGTGCAAATTCCGGCAAAATGTTTGGTGATGGTCTCTCCAATTCATCGTAGTCGCTGGAGGGGTTCATCGCTGATGGTTCTCTGTTGATGTTTTTGTTGCTCATTCTGTGGTGTTTGTTTACATTGACTTTTTTAACGTTGTTGTTGTAGTAGCTCATTATGTTGAAGAGTTTGCGAAGGTCGTAATCATCCTCCTCACCTGCCGTCATCTTCTTTCCTTGTCTGAGAGCAGCCGCTTCTAGAGCTGGTCACGATAATGGTCACAATAATGACAATTACGATGACGATAATTATAAAACGATGATAAAAAAGATTAGTAAAATAAAAAGGCCGATAAAATTAACTGACTAACTTCCAGTCACTCCATTATACACGTTCATACCTTACACATCTTCACACCACCATCGTCATCATCTCAGTCATCAAGAGCATTCAGGGCTTCATCGTTCTCACTCACTTTTTTGCTCGTTCCTAGCCACGGAATCAACGAAAGAAATGCTGAGTACAAATAGCGCCAACATCATCCTCATCTTCTTCTTCATCACCAGCCACAACTTCCCAGTTATCATTGATTTCAAATTGTTTTCACGGGCAAGACAGGAAGTAACAGGCAAACAAAATGGAAACGAAACCGCATTCGAATAGCGCCAAATTCGGCACGAGACGAATTCGAACGTTAAATCAAACGGTTATAAATAGATTATATACAAACGACGTACATCATGCGCGTGTCAATACAAATAAATAGGTAGGGCGACGCGTACAATTGAGCAGTGGCAGAATATGGAGTCATCTTAAGAACAAGTGCCAGCGAGAAAAATATCAATAAACACTCAATCGATAGTCAAGTATATTTCTGTGTGTGTGTGTGTTCCTCATGTGTGTGTGTGCGTGTGTGTGTGAATTTCTCATGTGTGAGTGTACGTGTGTATTCCTAAATCGCCGTCTTTTGTAATTTAGGCATGTAGAGCGGATAAATTGAATAAATAGCAAACAATTATGTTGGCGTGGGTGGAGAACAATTGGTTTGCTATTCTTTCTACACATTCATCTAATGAAAATAAAAATATTGCAAATAAAAACAAATAATAATGATGATTCATTCTTAATTATTAATTATCCTTCATACAATTTATATCAACATTAAAAACACGTTCGTTATTTATACAAGACAAATTAAATTTCATCTCTCTCTCTCTCTCTCTCTCTCTCTCTCTCTCACACACACACACACACCACACACATATTTACACACGCACGCACGCGCACACACACATAAATAGATGTCTATAAGATAGCTAAAGGAAGACTCGTGAACTCAACAGTTCCAGAGTCCAAATGAGCCCCTTCAACATCATTATTACAATCTCAACATCTCCATCATCAATACAATCATTTCATATCATCCACATCGTCATCAGTTTCAGTATTCAAAGTAAAAGCACCCACACACATTCACAAACGTTCACACACATACACTCGTTCACACACATACACTAGTTCATACACACCCACACATACACACACATTCACAGAGGAACATTGTTTTTATTGCCGTGATGATGATGATGATGAAGAGGAGGAGGATGAGGTCTACCATCACCACTACTGTTGTAATTATCGTTACATTGGCCAAGCACATTCCTATCGATCGAATTATCGGTACTGGACCCGGCGCAGGCCACCTGAGCCAACAGGACTGTCACGTCGTCTGGTTTGCCACCTGGTGGACAAATAAATGTTCAAATATTTGTAAATACGTAAGCATACAAACACACACACACACGCACACACACACGCTCATACCGACCAATAACATTGAAGCCATTATTGGCAGCATTGATGGAGAATGGAGATCTGTGAGATGGATTGAATCCGCATTTGTGGGCCTCATTTGCAATTTCATTGGCTACTTTTTGTAGGTCAGCCAATGAGCTGCCTGCCTGAATTGGGTCATTTATTTCTTTCATAAAATTTCTGATGTTTAGATGTTTTATTTTTTAAAACACCAACGGCGCATTAAAATAATCTTTTCTTTCAAATTCATTCATTCAAATTCATTCAATCTTTTTCCTCTTCAAATTCATTCTTCCTTTCTCTCGACCAGCCAATCAACAACCAGCAAACAAACCTTAAGATTAGATAAATGTTTAAGGATGACTTGATCATTCAAATTATCAAAGAGGCCATCAGTTGCGATCAATATCAAGTCCCCCTCTTCAACACTGAATGTCGTCGATTGAGCTGAATCGGGACTACCAGGTCATAAATATTTATTTAGGTCAGATCATGAGTGATTAATGAAGTTTTTAAACATTTATTTAGGTCAGATCATGAATAGCCAAACAACCTATCACTAATGAAAGCTCCCGGAACCATGGTAGGAGCAAGTGCCAATTGAAAAGGTGTGTTGAAGTAATGTGTTTGTTCCTCTGACTTGTGTATGATCTTATATAAAGTGAGAGAGATATTTAATATATAGATAATTTGCTAAATCCATCTAATTATTTTATGCAATATTATCACTTTAAAATATTCACAGACAAATAACTAATTTATTTAAAAAAAAATTGTTTAGGTACCCGCCCATCCCTGATGACCAGAAAACCGCTGTCCCCAAGGTTAGCCGTGTAGATCTTTTTATCTTCCCTGTTCAAAGCAACAATGCATGCGGTGCAACTTCCTGATGTGTTAGGATATTATAACTTTCAATCATTCAACAAACATTATAATTAATTTCTATTTTGTACATTTGGATACTTTAAAAATTTAAGATTTAAGCTGACCTATTAATGAAGTTTTTTCTAACTGCATTTCTTCATAGCTATTGTTTAGTAACTCAATTGGTTTTTTTGCAGAAAATTTTCCTAATTTCACTAATCGTTCACAAATTGCCATGAGTGAACGAGAAAACTGTGAGGGGTCCACCCCGTATGTTCGCCAACCCCCGACTCCATCAGCCACTCCTGAAGCGGAACAAGCAAGTAGGTTATAAATTGTTTAAAAGTTAATATTTTATTCTAGTTTTAAAATAATCAATTACCTAATAATTAAATTAAATAATACCAGATGGAAATTAAAAAAGTAAAAAACAAATTAACAGTTAGAAAAAAAAATTATCAAATTACCACCTAACACATCAGCTGCATTATTTTGAACGGCAAAACATGAATCATCACCAAAAGATCTTTGGTTGATTTGGCTGAAAGACGGAGAAAAAGATGGTGATAGTGGGGGTCCAGAATGGGTTTTAGACAAACCGGAAAGTGCGGATATTAAATGGAAAGTACGTCTTTTTAGAGATGTGATTAACCTGTTGCTACTCAACCAGTGACTCGAAAGAAACTCGTTGCCTATTTCGTTAACGACTGCTCTAAACAAAAATCTTCCATACGAAACTACACTTTGCATTTTTTTTATTTAAATTAAATTTTAAAATTAATAAAGATTGTCAATTGTCAACTGAACTCTTCTAAAAAGAAGGATGTATTTCTATTTGTTTAATAATATTAATTAAATATTTTAGATACAGAAGACTCGTAACGCGCAAGAATTCGCTTTAAATTTTTAAGCAGAAAGTGGCAGCGAATGGCAGAAAAAAGTTCGAACAAAGCAACGAAGTGTTGAATGTTGAATGACATTCACACGCTCATGGAGATCGCCATTTTGTAAACATTATAAACATACTTTTAAAAGTAAAAACAACTCTAGCATTTTAAACAAAATTTTTAAATGTTGTAGCGTTTCATTTTAAATTTACAATTTACAAATCGACTTTGCCAAATTTGAATATATAGAATATACACTATAAAGAACGTTAAAGTGCCTTGCTATCGGTTTGTTTGTATGGCATGTGTGTTGGTGTGTGTGTTGGTTGGTTTGTCTGTATGTTTGGTTGTCTGTCTGTCTGCCATCATCATCTTGGTTTGATTGCTACTTAAGCCGTAGGTTGGCTTAATTGGATTTTTTTTTCATACAATACTATGAGATTAATCAATCAATCAATCAATCAATCAATCAACTAACCAAACAACCAATCAATCAATCAACCATCCAATCAATCAATCAACCAATCAATCAACCAACCATTCATTCAATCAACTAATCAACCAACCAATCGACCAATCAATGAACCAAATTGAATGAACCAAATTGAATGAACCAAATAAACCAAAAACAAAACAAAAATAAATAAATATTTGCAAGGCTCGTTCAAATTCGAACAAACACTTAACCGTACAGATCTACAAACAGATTTCGAGATTTTAGTAAAGGAAGACAAACACAATAGCTGCTTTTATTTGAAAAAATGAAAAGTGACGGTTAATTAAAATTTTAAAAACGTCAATTTAAAAAAAATTAGTCTTTTAAACAAACAAATATAACAAAATATCGACCGATAAAAAATAGTTATCTATTAATATTATTATTATACACACTCTTTAGTAGTTCTCGGAGAATGATTCACGTAACAATACCATTTAGTAAGAACAGTTCACAGCATATCATAATGACTAAATCAACATACCAAACAGAAGTTATTTATACATGCATATATACAAAGTAAATCAAAAAATATCCAAAAATTATATAACCAAATTAAAACAACTAGAAACAACATTTAACAAATTAATAAATAGACATTATTAAGAAATTGTTTAAAAAGGTAAAATTTACAGCGACGTGGAGAACAAAATGTAGTTTGTTTTGTTGGTGTGGTGCAGTGAAGCGAAAACAAACACATCACGCAAAACTAATAAGAAGTCGCAAGAATAGTAGTCAGTCACCTACCTACAATTAAATTACTCTCAGGGCCCTAGCTTACTTATAATCATTAACTCAACTCACTTACCTACAAATTTGTATTTCTACGTTTTAGGAATTTTACATGTTTCAGGCCTTTTATTTAACATATTTTAGCGTTTTTATTTTACTTGAAACTTTTTAACTAATGTTAAGTCCTAGCCTACCTACGATTGTTCAACTAATCTCAATCCCTAACTTACCTATGATTTAAATTAAGTCCGTTAAAGAAAATAGAAAGTTGAAGAGAAACAACGACAACGACACCGAATGAATGGATGTTGTGTATGTGTGTGTTGTATTGATGTATGTGCGTAAATGTGCGCGCGCGTACTCTCCAGTAACTTCTTGTTGTCATCTTCGAATTATCATCGGAACGATCATCATGAGACCACCATCTGAAACGTGCTGACGCCCACCACAACCCACCTCTCATCATTCTGTAGACAAATTTTTTTTATTAGCGTAGTAGTAAATGAATGTTAGAATCTTAGAAGAAAAAATTAAAAAATGAAAATAATGGCAAATAAATAATAATTTAAAATAATAAAGAGAGTAAAATGTAAAAAAAAACCTACCTTCGTCAATTCGACAAAGGAAGAATTTTGAATGCCTGAGTAAATCAATGAATGAATGAATTAAGTATTAAGTAATCAATCAATGATTCAATGATTAAAAAAAATAAATTAATGGAAAAATAATTTGAAAGATTTAGTTATAAAATGAATGAATTAATGATTAAAAGACGAAACTAAACCTTACTTCAAAAATCGTCGTTACTGTACTGTACTCTGGTCGGCACACAAGATTTCATTCGAACTTCAGTGTCAGTCGAACAGCCAACGAGCTGATACTTCCTACACCACCATCATCATGTTTTATAAATCATCATGAGATCACCATCTGAAACGTGCTGACTCCCACCACTGCCCACCTCTCATTATTCTGTGGATAAAATTTTTTATTAGCGTAGTAGTAAATGAATGCTAGAATCTTATAAGCAAAAAATTATAAAATGAAAATAATAGCAAAATAATATTTTAAAATAATAAAGAGAATAAAATGTAAAAAAAAAACTTACCGTCGTCCATTCGACAAAGGCAAAATGTTGAATGCGGTCCGGTTCCTACGTTGTCCTCCAAAACTGGTGCCAGTCCTCCTCGAGATTGTTGTTGAAACACAGCCCGTGTTGAGGAAAAAAGATAAAAGAGATTCTCATCAGAAAGCTTAGCGGTGCCTGCATCTCAAATTGCTTAATAAAAATAATCCTATCTACCTATTCAATTACCTTAACTAATCTATATTAAATTATTAATGGTACAATAGTCGAATGTCCCCTTCATTCTCCCTCCTTGCACAGAGGTTCACCGACAGCCAGGGCACCGGATAGAAAACCATTGCCGTGCGGATAGTAGACTATTGCCGTGCGGATAGTAAACCATTTGCCGTCCGGAAGCCGTGCGGGTAGTAGACTATGGCCATGCCGCATAGTAAATCATTACCGTGCAGATAGTAAACCATTGCCGTCCGGATAGTAAACCATTGCCGGTTCACCACTGGCCACCAAGGCTTACCTCTGACAAGAGACTTTGAAATCCAGAGTCAATCGGCTATCGTACCCTCAACCTACCTATTCATTACATTACGGCCCTAGCTTACCTAAAATTACAAAACTCAAGAGCCCAATTCATTTAGCCAATCGGCACCCACCCCACCACCTACGTAATGCCTTGGGCTCCAACTTAGTAATAATAATATAAAACTTAAACCCTAAATCTATTAATGAGTATGTGTTACAACGTAGCCTTAACTTACCTATTCATTACATTACGGTCCTAGCTTACCTAAAATTACAAAACTCAAGAGCCCAATTCATTTAGCCAATCGGCGCCCACCCCACCACCTACGTAATGCCTTGGGCTCCAACATAATAATAATAATGTAAAACTTATATTAGCCTACCTATCGATACACTTACAGCGTTTTAATTTACATTACAAGATTGTTCCTAAAATTACATTATTGCCCTTAATTACCTATAAAATTAAATTACTCTCAACCTTAGTAATAATATATTAGAATGTGTAATGAAAATAAAATTACGCTCAAATACTAATATATGTGTTTATGTATGTATTTGTTTGTGTGTGTAATACGCTGACGCGTGTAATGTTGGTGCAAGAAAAAATAGAAGCGATAAACTTACGCGCCTACCTATTCAACTACATTAGTGTTGGATGCTTCTTATCTATCCTACCTACAATTAAAATTATGCCTATCTAACCTACCTATATAGCTACTTAATGTATTTGTGTGTGTATGTGTGTGCGTGTGAGCATTCTTACTTAATGTTAAATTACAGAGAAAAACAGAGAAAAAAGAATAAAACGTATCCCGGCCAGGCGTGTGTTCTTGGCAACTGAATGAATGAACGTAGCCTGACATCCTCCATGATGAACTCCTCTGGAAGCTTCAACCTGAATGAAATGGAAAAATGTTATTTAATTAATTTAAATGAAAATAGAGAAACGAGCCGCGGTGAAACCCGCCAGCCGGAAAAGCCAGCCAACTGGCAAAAAGAACCGCAAAGAAACCGTAAAACGAACCCCTGCCACTGAATGAACGAACGTAGCGTGACATCACAACCATTCTGATCTTCCACGACGAACCCCTATAGAAGCTTCAACCTGAATGAATGAACCTGAATGAATGAACCTGAACGAACCTAAATGAATGGAAAAATCTTATTTATTTAATTAATTCAAATGAAAATAGAGAAACGCAAAGAAGCCGACCGGTCGGCAAAGAAAAAACCTCAAAGAAAGGTATCTATATAGGATTTATGCTCTATATAACTCTATATAACTCTATATAACTCTATATAACTCTATATAACTCTATATAACTCTATATAACTCTATATAACTCTATATAACTCTATATAACTCTATATAACTCTATATAACTCTATATAACTCTATATAACTCTATATAACTCTATATAACTCTATATAACTCTATATAACTCTATATAACTCTATATAACTCTATATAACTCTATATAACTCTATATAACTCTATATAACTCTATATAACTCTATATAACTCTATATAACTCTATATAACTCTATATAACTCTATATAACTCTATATAACTCTATATAACCATGCATACTACCACATTCAATCAATAAAAATCCCACTAAATCCAGGAACCACCGCGTACCTGCTGAATGTATGGTGTGAAACAAAACAAAAAAACACAAACGAAAAGCACACCACCAAGTAAGAGTAAGAGAAAAGAAGTCCCTAACCTACCTATGTAACTAAATTACCTTATGCCCTAGCCTACCTATATAATAAATTAATTCTCAATCTCACCTACCTATGTTTCATTAGCTTAACTCAAAACTCATGAAGAGAAAAAGGAGTAAAACAGAACATAAAATACTACCGCACAAACAAACATGATCTATGTATGTATGCATGTATGAGCAACCGCTAAAGAACCCACCTAAAATAAAAAAATACCACCTACAAACATTCAAACCACCTACAAACATGCAAACTCTATATAACTCTATATAATAAAATAAATAAAAATAAAAAAATTATAAAAATAAAATAAATGAGATCAGACAGACTGCTTCAAGCGAGGCAGAATGCCTGATCTGATTTTCATGCTGTCTCAGCTCCTCTATTTATACTCGTTTCAACCATACATTCTCATCACTTAAATCATTCACATCAGTAAAAAACTTATTTAATGTATGTACTATACTATTATACAGTCTTAACCACAATGCTAACCTTACTAAATTGACGTCATCGAACGAACGCCTTCGAAACTTTCTGATTGGCTGGTTGAATCTGCTATATTGATTATTAATTATTTGTATACATGGATTCTAGTTACTTCGGGGAGAATTCAAAATAGTTTGAGACCATCCTTGCTTAACATCCGATTCCAAGCCGAGCCAAGCCAAGCTGAGCCAATATGCGTAGATATTTGAGCGCTTTTATCCATGGCTTTTATATTAAAATTTTGCTCGCTTTATATATATATTATATAAATTCATTGTAAAAACAACTGTAATCAGTGCTACATATGTACGCATGGAGTTCAAATTTTTCGGGGAGAATTCAAAATAGTTTGAGACTACACCTTGCTTAACATCCGATTCCAAGCCGAGCCAAGCCATAAGCCAAGCTAAGCCAAAATGCGTAGATTTATAAGCATTTTTATATTAAAATTTTGCTCGCTTTATATATATATTATATAAAGCGAGCAAATATATATTATATTATATATATATTCCAAGCCGAGCCAAGCCATAAGCCAAGCTGAGCCAAAATGCGTAGATTTATAAGCATTTTTATATTAAAATTTTGCTCGCTTTATATATATATTATATAAATTCATTGTAAAAACAACAGTAGGTTAATCAGTGCTACATATGTATGCACATATGTATGCTCGCTTTATATAGTAATATCCCAATATAACTAATTCTCCATCCTATTTTAAAAATTTTCTTTGATGCTTTTTAATCAGTCAGGTCACAAAAATCATTATCGATATCGTGATAAAATCAAATTGAAAATTTTTTTCAAATTGTTGATAATAGTAGATGGAAAAATGCATGGAAAAATGTTTAAATTTTTCTGAGAATATTCAAAATAATTTAAGACTACACCATAACACAATTGTACAATTTGAATGTGTAAATATAACATTATAAATGTATTATAACTACGCATATATATATATATATATATATATATATATATATATATATATATATATATATCTATTACTTTATTTAGTTTTGCCTGGGTATGATATTTGGTCAAATTTATTTGATAAGAATTGAATATAACCTTTATACAGGCTGATTAGCTACCATGCAGTAAAATAACTACTGTTAACATGACGTCATTTCCTCCAACGATTTCGCAACGATATACCCATCCTATTTAATAAATTTTATTTGATGTTTTTTAATTAGTCAGGTCACAATCATCATCATCATCGATATCGCATTGAAATCAAATTGAGAATTTTTGAAATTTTTGAAAAAAGTATCTTTATTCATTTTATGATACTACTTTGTTCAATACGATACTGTTTGATACATACAACTAGTTTGAGCCATATGCTTACTTGGTCTCATAGTACCGACGAAACCCAAGGCATTTGTTGGTGGTGGGGTGAATCCGTAAGGTAAAAGTAATAAAAACAATTAATATTATATCATTATTACCGTACGGTGGTGAATAGGGCTCCTCAATTTTGTAACTAGGTAAGTTAAGGATAATTGTAATGAATAGGTTAGTTAAGTGTGCGTTACAGTGCGAAGGCATTTGATTTCAACATACGGTGCATCAGTTAAGGATACTTCCTGCCAGTTTATTCTGCATCAACCAATCTTATGCACAAGTAAGTTTGGTTGGAGGGGTCTGAAATCTGTAACGTGCCAACATATACACGGCGCATATGCACACTATCATATGCATATCGTAAGTTAGATGATAATTTAATAAATAGACAGTTAGGATTATTAATTATTATATAAATAAACAATTTGAGATGCATGCAACGCTAAGTTTTCTTATGAGAATCTTTTATTTTTTATTATCATCTCTCTCATGAACTGCTGAATCGAAAAAGTAAAGAAGGTGTAATTATAGTTCAATTCTAGTAAGCTAACCTGTGTTACAAGTGTTTTGGGCGCATCTAACGCTTCGGATAGGGCGCTGCACAAATGTCATTACAATTATTAAAAGTTAATTTAAATTTTGGTTTAACGTATTTATCGAAGTTAAAATTCTCTGGTGGGGCTTGCACTTTAACGTTCAGTCATTAAAATTTAATGATTAAATAGAACGAAATTTAGAGCAAATAAATGAGACAAATTTTTTTGTACCGCAAAGCCCAGGCCCAGCTGGAATACACGCGGTTAAACCGAAAATATAACTCAAAAGTTTTGTGTGTATAATTGTATATAAATAAAAGTTTTATTATAAAACTATAAATATAAATTATAAATAAACATAAACTATAAAAACTTTTAAAAAGAATAAAGCTGGTTATTTCTTTCTTGTTTTGTTATGATATAAGACAAATAAAATAAACTAATAATAAATAATAAAATAAAATTTATCCATTCAATTGAATTCAATCAAAGTTCCTAACTCGGCATCAACATGAATGTTCCTGTTGCCAAAAAGAGACGTTTTAAATCAGAAAGCTGTAAATGCAAATCTGATCATTTCTCATCACTCAGCAGCAGCAGCAATAACAGCAAAGTTGACTTGATAAGGAGGGCGGGTCCATATTTGATTGGCAAGTTTGATTTTTGAACTTTAAGATGGTGTGCGTGTGTCAGTCTGAATCATTTTTTAAAAATTGACTAGTTTAACCTTCAAAGCGTGATTTCTGTTCTGGCAACACTGACTCAAGTCTGCCTGAACCAGACTGAACCATGCATGAATGAACCTTCTTTTATATTGCATTATAATGATAATCTTATGAGATCTGTTTTTGTGTGATTTGAAATGATTGTTGGACTTAGGTCCAATGTTGGGGCCATCTCCGGTTTCCACTATCATCCACTGCCTGGCCAGGAAGGAGGGAACTACTGAATTTTACAATTTGAAGGTGGACATCTCATCTCATTTTGCAATTTTTTTAATTGAACTCATTTTCATTCTCAAAAAATTTTATTAAATGAAACTAATAAAAGATATTTTTAATCCAAAATACAGATACTGACTCTTAAAAACAGCTTGATGCATGAAACCCCTGAAGACAGGCAAGGCAAGACTTTGTTGCACACAGAACATTCTCTCCTATCTCTTCTGAAGGACCAAGAAGGAGTGGTCAAACATCATGGACTCTTCCAAGTTAGTGGGTGGGTGTCTAGAAGGCAGTCAAAATTGCCTGGAAAAAGTTATTTTATTGAAATTTATTGATTTATTATATATTAAAAATTGTTTTCTTAAAAGACCAAATTTTTTAATGACATTTTAAAAATTTACAAGTTTTATTATTTTTTCATATTAAATTAAGGATCTTGCCAGAGAAGAACGATCTTCACTGTTGCAACCAAATACACTCGAGTACACCGGTCGAACTTACAAGCGTCTAATTTTGGTGTTGGACTGTTTGGTGGCCCATGATTTTGATGTGAGAACATGCGATTCCATGAATCTTCAACATTATGTAATCAAGGAGAAGAAGTTGAGTGAGAAGGAAGCTCTTTACATCTTTGCTGATATCAGTCGAATTATTGAAAATCTACATCAGGTGATTGCTGGGCCAATTTGTTGGCTTGCTGATTGGTTGTCTGGTTGATTGATTAGTTTGATCAATTTTTATATCTGCTCCACCAGAAAAATATAATTCACAGAGATTTGAAGCTCGGAAATATGGTGATCAACACAAAATCTCGACGCATCACCATCACAAACTTTTGTCTCGGGCGCCATCTTATTGGGGAAAATGACTTAATGAGAGATCAGAGAGGTAGTCCAGCCTACATCAGTCCTGATGTTCTCAGTGGTTTGTATTTATTGGAAACAGGGGAACTGGAGTTCTGTCTCTAGTCATATTTGAGTATTAGTAGATGTGAATTGTTAAAAGTTAGGTTTATTTTGATTTAATATATGGATCATAAAAATTTCAGTTTCTTTCAGTATTAGACATGAATCATGAAAAGTTGACTTTGTTTGAATACAAAATAAGAATCATTGAAAGTTTAGCGCTGGTTTTTAAAAGATGTATGTTCCCATTTGAACCCTAATTTGGCATTAACTCGAAGGTCGTCCGTACAGAGGCAAGCCCTCAGACATGTGGGCGTTAGGAGTCCTTCTGTACACCATGCTGTTTGGGCAGTTCCCATTCTTTGACAACACACCTCAAGAACTTTTTAGGAAGATCAGAACAGTTGACTACACCATCCCTGGGTCCGTCTCTTTTCTTAGTTGCACATGTCAAATTAAATTTTTTGTTTGGAAACGAACTCAACTAAACAACTGGAGTGATAAAAATATCTATTTTTTAAAAAGTGTTTGGTGATATTATCGCATTTTTCTGCACTATATCAAAGTAATTTTTGAGTACATGCGTTGGATAATTGAGTTTTGAGTAACATTTTAACGATTTTTATCAAATTGTTTTCAGTATATTAAGATAAATAATGCTAGTGTGAAAATTCAGCCAAATACGTTCGTGTGCTTCTCAAGTACGCCTCTATGACATCGTCGCGATGTTCCACACTATTTTAAAATTATTTTCGATTTAATACATATTATGATCAATATTTCAATTATATTACAACAAATTATCAGATTAAATTAAGAAAAATTGTGTTTTTGTTGTAAGTCAGCCAAAAGCTTCATGCGTTAACTTTAATGCCGCCATCAATGTCAGCCACCGTATGATATTAACATTCATCTAACCACCATAGCCCCTAAATGTTTTGAGATGTTGTCGCAATGTTCTGCATTATTTTGAAGCAGTTTTCGATTATATTATACAAATTGTTTCGATCACATCAGGATAAAATGCGTTTTTGTGGACCGTGTATTTCACATAGGTATATTCAGTCACTACTAAGTTGTCCGTGTCTTTTCGTGCCACGTTGCACATTTTTCAAAATATTTGCTGCTTAAGCATACAATATAAATGCATTCTTGGCGACATTGTTGTGTTTCATTTATTAAAATATTGTGCTCGCTTCGTCTACATTAACTTAAGCATGCAAGCCAGCCAATTAGACTGACATTTATTTTTATTGAAACCTCTTAGCTCATTGTGTTATAATGATGATGATGATATGAGGATGATGTCATGATGACGTTTGTAGGGATGGGCGTGTGTCACAAAGTACAATTCATCTGATAAACGGACTGTTAAAAGCCGATGCCAGCAGTCGATTGACAGCCTCTCAAGTCGTCGACAGTCTCAAAACTATTCTGGCTTTTTGGTATGTTCATTCGTTTCAATTTCGTTCCTTCTAGCGTCATCATTTTTTCAAACGTATTTGTTGAAATATTATGCTAGGATGTAATGACGAGATGATGATGAGGATGATAGATGATCGATACTTGGGAACGTCTCGATGATTACGATGGAGAGTTTAATAATAACGTAAAAATCAATACCTATTTCTTCTTCGCCACCATCATCTTCTCGTTCATCGTCACTTTCATAACGCTCTAGCAGGAGGAACATAACGGCTGAACACCTGCAACTTGTGCCCGACGTTGACGACAAACAAACGAACGACGACAACAATAAAACTAACTTCATTAACAATATCAGCAGCGATAGCAACATCAATGATTTCAATAATAATGACGGAGCCAAAGAAGAAAAAAAGACGAACTTGAAGAATCCAAAGAAGTTATCTCTAACCATTAACACGAACACCACCTCAGACGGCAAAAATAATATTAATAATGCCGCCAGTGATGGTAATAATTTCAGCAATTCCAGAACAGCAGTAGTAGAAAGTGAAAGTGAATTTGAGAGGAAATTAAGAAAAGTTAGAGAATTCCCAGATGAGTCTGGATTGGCGTCAAGCGGAATTTTCCTCAGCAGACCTCTAAAATTTGGTTACAACGAGAATGGGAAGTTTGCGAAAAGAGCTATGCAGTATATGACAACATCATTGTTTGCATCGACTCTGGAATCATTATCATTGCAACAATCGCAACAATCATCATCATCATCATTCTTATTACACAAGCAAGGCTCTCTATCATTATCATCATTACCATCGTCGTCGTCATCGCCATCATCCTTCACGATGGTCAGAACTAGGAGTGTGTCAAGTGATGAAACATCCATAATTAACAACAACATCAATAATTATAAAAATTATAATAATAATGATAATAATGATTGTAAGAATGGTAATCAGCTGAACGGTGACAATGACTGCAGCAACAGCAGTAAGAAGAAAATAATATTCAACATAAGTTTCAACATCGCCATTGATGGCTCCAAGAATCAAAACAGCAGCAGCAACAACAACGTCAACAACAACAACAACGTCAACAACAGCAGAAGTTCTACTTACATAAGAAATTTGCACGGCAACATTTTCACGACACCAATAACAAGATTATACCCGGGCGCAGATGATGATGCTGGCGGCAACAACAACAGCAGCAGCAACAACATTGGTGGGCACGGGTTGACTGTTGATGATTTACAAATTGTTAACAATTGGTTGAGTGCTAGCAGGACGTTATCCAGCTGATTGATTCATTGAGTGGCTGATTGCTGAATGCCGGTTGATCAGATGCTTATTTGTTTGTTTTTTGACCAGGTACGAACAAGTAAATGATTGATTGATTGACATTGTTTGATTGATTGATCGATCGATCAATCGATCGATCGATCGAAATTTATTTAAACAAAAAGTTGTCCAGTAAACATTTTTTTTTTTTTTTTTTTCTCAACTTTATTTCATATCTCAAAAGAAATGTTGACGGCTCGAGAATGACGTCACGTTGCTTTGTTTTGCACGTTTCCCTACCATTGTGTCTTTGAAAGAGTTTCAATCTAGATGAACTTTTAAACTAAAAATGTAATTAGAATTCCACATTTTACCTTACAGGTAGATAAACATGGCAGATCGATTAGTTGTCATGTTGCGATATTTTGCACAGAAAATTTCATTTCGAGTGTAATAAATTATTTATCTGGATAAAATTTCGCGTATTTGTTGCAAATGTTTTTATTTCATAGCAATCGAAAGCCATTAATCGTCTTCCGATCAATTGATCAATTCTCTGGTGCAATCTCCACTCCTGATGTGATGTGAAGGGAGATTAACTCACCTGGCAGTCATTTTTCATTTTAATTCTTTTGTAACAAAATGTCAACTAATTTAAGAAATTTCCAACTTTCAATCCAACAAAACTGATAGATTTATTTATTTCTGGTTCAGTGTTTGTTTGATGAGTTTATTTGATTATTTGTTAAATTATAAATTTATCAAAATCAAACAATAAAAATAAAAAGCAGTTGCAAATGAAAGAAAATGACAGGTATAATAAAAAAGTTAAAGTCATTTTTCATATATGGAGTCCCAACAACAACTGCATCTTCATCATCATTGTCCCAAACATCTGTTGTCAATACTTTAAAAAGTTTGTCAGGATTTTTAAAAGTGAATTCTGATCCAAATGATCAGTGGAGAATTATAAGTGAACTTAGTGATGGAGCTTTTGGAAAAATATACAAGGTTTGTCCTAAATTTTTTAATCTTTGCATATGTTTTTCATTTTAATGCTCATTTAAACACAATGTAGCTGTTTGGAGAGAAATGTTTTGTTCAATTTGATTGATAAATCATTGAAGCTGTTTTGAACTTTCAAACTGAAGGCCGAGCATGTCACGTCAAAGAAGTTGGCAGCATTGAAACAAGTGGACCTGATTAATGATGAAGATAACATCACTGATTACTGTGTTGAGGTGAAGGCCTTGTGTGACATCAATCACATCAATGTCATCAAGTTGTACGAAGCCTTCTACTTCAACTCCAAAATTTGGGTTTGTACATATTTGAACTGGTTCAAGAGATGTGAATGTTTGTTATTTGTTAGATGTTCATTTATCATCTCATGGGCTATTAAGCTCTGTAGTTTGTAATGTGTTGTTCGTAGAAGATTGAAAGTGTTTTAGTGAAGTTCAAAACTTCATAATGATCTCCATGTTCCAGATGTTTCTAGAGTATTGCAAGGTCGGCTCTCTAGATACAATAATGCAGGAACTTGAACGACCAATGAATGAAAAGCAAATTAGGTCAGTTGCCAGACAGCTGTGCTTGGCCTTGACCTACTTACATGAAACCTGCTTCATTATTCACAGAGATGTGAAAGCTGCTAATGTTCTGGTCACTGATGAGGCTTGCATCAAGTTGGGTCTGTTCATTCATTCGTTCGTTCGTTTGTTCTTGGCTCATTTGTAGTCATCATCATCATCATCCATCATGACATTAACAACATCATCATCACCATCACAATAACAACATCATTATCAGGAGACTTCGGAGTGTCAGCATTGTGCTCTGCAGCTGACAGTCGGAGGAACTCATTCATTGGATCGCCTTACTGGTTGCCTCATATTTCATCATTATTATCATTATTATTATTATTGTTATTATTATTATTATTATTGTTATTATTATTATTATTATTGTTATTAGTGCAAAAATAATGTCTGTATTGCGTTTCTTAATTTTCAACATAAAAGTTATAAAATTAATTTTAATGGATAAGGGGCCGTTCGAATATTACGTAACGCTCCGGGGGGGGGGAGGGGTGGTCTAATATTTTGTTACGGAGTGTTACGGGGGGGAGGGGGGTTCAAAAATTGTTACGTAACACAGAAAAAAATGTTGTTTTTTATATTTTTCATTATTAACAAATGTTAGTGTAGTTTTTATAGAATCTATGTTAATAAATGGTTAATGATCATATTTCTTTAAAATTGTCGTTTTCATCCATGAAACTTAGCAGTTATGAACATTCTGATAAAAAAACACGACGAATGCAATGCATTTTCGTGACCGCGTGGTACATACGGAAAAAAATCAAAAAAAAATTCTGCTTCTTCTCTAAATTCAATTGTTTGTTATTACCGAAAAATTAAAAATATTTTTTGTTACGTAACAGGGGGGGGGGGGGGGTAAGTCGTTTGTTACGGAAGTGTTACGAAGGGGGGGGAGGGGGTCAAAAAAGTCGTTTTTTCGTGTTACGTAATACTCGAACGGCCTCTAACTATTGTGAAGGTTATTTATTCCTCCATTTAGTTGATACTAAACATTTAGTTAAACATTGCAGAAGTTGAATAGCTGATGTTACCTGGCACAGCGGTTCTCAATAACCTGTGGTACGCGGACCACTTGTGGAAATTTGCCTTGTGGTCTGCAAGCAAAGTGTGAAGTGCATGTTTTTTTTAAATAAAAAAAATGAAAAATGAACTCCGATTGAGTCTTTCGAGCATTACTCCCCGTTTGGATAAGCTACGCTCAACTGTGCAGGCTCAAGGCCAACACTAAAATTAAATGTTGCATTATTTATAATGTAGTTGGCACGTTAAAAAAACCACCTGTTTATTGTTATTCATTATTGTTAGCAAGTGACATTAAGTAGCAAGTGAAGATGTCATTACAATTTGTTTCATATTTGATATAAAAATTGATGATACGTCATTATATACAAATATCAAGGTAAAACGAACATTATACTTTTTAATTGGAAGTTAAAACATTTATTAAAATATATAAAAAATGATTCTAAATAACAATTTTAATACACCTATAGTCAAGTGTGGTAACTGAAGTTTTCTAAGTTTAATAGTTATGCTAAGAACTATGTTGTGCTAACTATGTGTAGCTGTCCCATCATTACATGAAATAATAATTATATAGAAATAAATTTCGAGTGCGCTAGTAGCAAAATTTTCAGTAGTGGTCCGCGACTGAGACACATTTTTTAAGTGGTCCTTGAATCTCAAAAGGTTGAGAAGCGCTGAAGAGATGATGATGATGCGTGGTTGCTGCAATGATTCATTGACATTTAAATTGAACATTAACGTAGTAATCGTATTTAGAGTTTTCAATCAGTTGTTTATTTCGAAGGATGGCCCCAGAGTTGATTGAATGCGAGGTGAGTAGAGAGCACAGTTACGACTGCAAAGTTGACGTTTGGTCGCTAGGTGGGTGTTCATTTGTTTGCCTTTGATGTTGTTGCTGATGTTGATGGCATTTTGTTGAACAGGAATCCTGATGATCGAGTTGGCCCAACTTGATCCCCCCTTCAACAAAATGAATCCTTCCAGAGTCACATTGAAAATCATCAAAAGTCCCCCTCCTATACTGGATAAACCTGGAGATTGGTTGGTTGGCTGGTTGGTTGGGAGAAAGGAAGCTATCACCTTGATGTTACATTATAATGAAACATTTGTTCAATTAATAGATGTAAACCAATAACTAACCAATTAATCAGTCAGATAATCAATCAATCAATTAACTGATCAATCAAACAACCGACCAATCAGGTCGGACGATTTCAACAGCTTCGTAGCATGCTGCCTCCAGAAAGATCCACACATCAGGTACAGATCGTCACAATTGTTGCAGGTAAGTAAATGAATGAATGAACGAATGAACGAACGAACGAATGAATGAACGAACGAATGAATGAACTACAAAATGGTGTGGTAATGTATTTTATTGTTGGACATTTTTCAGCACAAGTTTCTCACAAGCCGAAACAACAACAACAACAACGATGATGATGATGATGATGAGGATGACGAGTTGAAAAAATTAATTGCCGAATACTTAGGCGAGGTGATCGTTCAATATTCTGACGTCATCATCAGCGGGGAGGGTGGTCATGATGATGATGATGATGGTAATGATGATGACAAATTGGTTACAAATATCGATGATGATATCGTTAACCATGAGTTCATTCTGAACAACAACAATGGTAATAATAATAATAAATTTAATAATAATAAATTTAATAATAATAATAATAAATATAATGGTGGTGACGATGACAAAGCAAATCCATGGCTGACCGATGTGAAGATAGGTGCTAAAAGTATCAATTTTGGAAACACTCAATTCAATAGCAACAACAACAACACATTAGAGAGATTTTATTATTCAGATCTTAACAATCAGCAGGCTCCTAAGTTGGCATCAACAACATCCATCGTAACGACAATGACATCGACAAAAACACCGACGACATTCGGAACATGGACAACAACAACATTAACGACATCATCTCCATTAAAAATCTCATCAGCTACATTAACTAGCGACAACCACAAGACGAATGATTTTTGCACTAGCCATAAATATAAGCCTAACAACATAATACACTGCAACAACGTTAAAAACAGTACCAACAACAACAATATTTTCAAAATGGCAATATATGGAGCAATGAACGGCAGACAGCAACGTCAACAACATCAATTCAGATGTGATGACAACAGCGATGATGGCTTCATTAACAACAAATCAAATTATGGTTATGATAACAATTGGATCATAAAGAATAATACAAATGACATTAAGAGTGGCCGTGCTGACAACAATAGCACCAACTTCAAATCTTCAAACCACGATGATAACAGTTTTGATAACCATCTCGATAACCATCCTGATAATGATCTTATCCATGATGTGCATAGAACTTTTAATAGAAATGTTTGTCGTTTTAGTGATAAGTTGATGGCTATTGTCATTTTGTTCTGTTATTTAGTTCTTTGGTTTCAATGTTTCAAAAATGAATTTTTAGTAACATTGTAATATTTCATTAATTATTCACGAATTAATGTTAATTTATTCACAAATGAATGTCAGTTTTTCATAATCAATCAATCAATTAATTAGTTTATAAAGCACTGTTTTCGCGATATTCAACAGCGCTCCTCAATGAATTTTGCAAACAGATGGATCTTGAGATCCGCTCCGAATTTCGTAAGTGATGGAGAAGTAGTCAGAGAAGTAGGTAGAGAGTTCCAGAGAAAAGGGCCAGAAAAAGCAAATGCAGATTTAGCAAAAGAGTGCTTAACACGAGTTAAGAAGAAGTGAGAACGAGAAGACGATCGTAAACAGGGGCTTTTAGGTTCAATTAATATATCTGATAAGTACTTAAGAATTTAGATTGAGACTTATACATAAATGTGCAAATTTAAAAAATTATTCTATATTTCATAGGTAGCCAGTGCAAGAGAACAAAATATGGAGGTATGGGAAAATAAATTAATATTATTAATTTCTGCAGAGATCGACCTACAGATCGCTGACCAAAACCCGTACTTACACTTACAATGGACAAAAACTGACCAATCAGACAACGAGAATTGTTAGAACTGACGATGATAATGATGATGGTAGTTGTGATGATGGTGACGATAACTTTGGGGGTTATGACGTCACAAGCAGGGCAGGAGATCGGGAGATGAAGGAGAGAGCTTATAGGTAAATTCATGGCGAAATGCTCTGATGAAATTGGATTTATCAATATTTTTGAAATTGTTGTTTTTATCGCTATTCTTCTTAGTATTGGTGTTATTATTATTACTATTATTAATGACGATCATTATCAGGAGAGCGAGCAACAGAAGGATGCGGATGCAACAAATAATTGAGAACCGACAACAAAACCAACAACTGCAAGATTTCAATAGCCAGCAACAGCAGATTCAACATCAATATCTCGCCAGTGTCAAGGTCATTGTTGGTGTTGTTGATGTCATTGATGTTGCTGCTGCTCATGTTATTGATTTAGTTGTTGACGAAGGTTTGGATATTCATAATGTTAATGTCGTTATTTATTACATATAAGCTAAGATGATGATGATTTTTATTACCCACCCCTCAGAAATGCTTGCGAGCGTACAACACTGAATGCATCAAGTTGGGCAGGGAGCAGAAAGGAGAGATGGTCATGATGGAGAAAAGAGATGATGAACAGTTTAGAGAGAGGCACAAGAAGATCCTTGAACAACAGGTCGCCTGCCATCTATCTATCTATCAATCAATCTATCTATCCATCTACCTATCTGTCTATCTCTTTCTCTCTCTCTTTCTATCTATCTATCTATCTATCTATCTACACATCTCATCTTCTCCATCGTCACCAACATTCAGGCCAAAGAACTGAAATCCTTTCGCCTGAATTTGAACCGCGATTTGAAATTAATGAAAGAAGACGCAATGAAGAGCAACATGTCCAGCAAAGATATTAAACTGATGGTAAGTCGAAAGGAGATGCAAAACTTTGAAAATGTTAGTTTTTTGGATACCATTTCAATCCGTTGTAATAGATAATTATTCGAACGATCAATCAATCGATCAATCAGTTAACCATATTGACTTATTTAATTTTCTCAGCCAATCATGTGCCTCGATACAAACGACAATAAAACAACTAACCAATCACAAAAAATAGTTGCAGCTATACAAAGAGCAACAAAAGATGATGATGATGAGTTTGTTGGGCAAGTTGAGGAGTAGACATCAAAGAAAGATGGCAGACGTTGAAGAGATGTTCCTTAGGCAGAAACATCAACTCATCAAAGGTTGGTTGATTAATTTGTGGGTTGATTGATTGGTTGGTTGGTTGGTGGCTGGTTGGTTAATTGATTGGTTGATTGATTGGTTGAAAGTTGTAGATCATTTTTGTTCCATTCTACGTTCATCACGGTATACAAGAGAATTTGATAGCAGTAATTCGATGTTAATTCAAGGTGAACATGTTAAATGAATGAATGAGTGAGTGAGTAAAAAAATGTATCCATACAGAATGTGAGAGAGAGATGTGGAGCTTGGAAGAGGATGTACTGAAGAAAAGAAATGAGTTAAACAAACAGCAACACGTTCAGATGTTTGAGGTGCTACGAAAGCAGGCCCAGGCGAGGCATGCACAGGTTGGTGGCGGGGGTAGTCCTTTGTTTGCTCTCCCTTCTCCTTCTCCATGTTTCGAATCTTTAAATTGTAATAACTGGCCAGGAAGTGGATGAAGTGTTGAAGAGGCAGGAGATGATGAAGATGAAGATGAAGAGAGATGGCGAGGAGAGGGAGAGGGAATTTTTGAAGGATTTGAAAGTGGAAAAGAGACGGAGAATGTTGGAGTTCCAAGAAAATTTGAAACTTAAAAACACCCAGGACGTGAAAAACCCATCCTCATCACCATCATCCTCATCATCAGAAACTTTCGGTGGCCATGCACTGTCAACAGAGAGGGAATCCATTAAAAAAGTTCCCATTTCTATTTTTCAACTGTTTTTTGCTGATGCTGTTGTCCTTTGTTATACAGTTGGATGGTGAAAAACTGGAAAAAAATCATGCAAAATAGATTATAAATTAAAGTTAATTTCACTCTTTTTCACACAGTTTGAGAGGATGGAAAGACAAGATGTGGAGAAGAAGTTTCAAGAACATAGAGAGATGTTGATGAGAAGGAAAGAGGAGTTTCATGGGAGGTGTGAAGACGTTATCCAGGAACTCAGTGCCAACATGGTCTCCAAGCATTCGTTCATTCATTTCACATGTTTCGTTCATTCAATTATTTCTAAAAAATGTTTATGCGCTTGCAGGCCAAATTATTAAGGGCGGTAAAACAAATTTTTTGCACAATTTCTTCATACAAATTGCCTATACAAACGGAAACAAGTACTGAAGATGGTTGAAAAATCAAAAGAGGTCCTTCACACTCGAGAATGATTTGGAAAACTGTATATTGTTCTAACTTTAATAAAATAAATAATGACGAAAAGAATTTGGTTAGAAATATTGAGAAATATAATAGAAAACAATTTAACACTAGAGATTCGGTAGATTTCATAAATTACTGCATTAATTATGGTATTTTATATATATATTAAATAATTCAGAAACAATTTAAATGACGCCGTTGCTAATTTTTGTTAACACGCAATTTACTGATCCTGATATTTGTTGCAAACATTATTCAGTTTAATATCGTTTCTAATGTTTTGAATGACTCGTTACATGAACAGATGGAGAGAGAGATAAGATTGGAGGAAGATTTGAACGTGAAATTGACGCTGGAGGAAGAGAGGTCGAGAAGAGAGCGCAATTTTTGGAGAGAAAGTGTAAAGAAAAGAGAGGAGGTTCGTTCGCTTCATGGTTGAATGCATGATGGATGTTGGTTGGTTAGTTGACTATGTAGTGGATGTTGACTGGTTGATTCCTTTTAATGAATATTCCAAAAGCATTGAATGTTTCACCTGTGCAGAAGTTGGAGGAGGAGTTTGAGAAGCAGTTGAATAGGCAACATCAATTCTACTTCAACGTCAATAAAAATAACCAAGACTACAATCAGCGATTTTTTCAACACCTCAGCACCGACAATAGAAACGTGAAAAGCAGCAAGTATAATTTTTACAACAACGTCGGAAGACTCGACGACGACGGCGATATTCGTCTTGAACTTGATGGCAGAAACACCCGCCAACCACAGCAGCAACAGCATTACTTCTACACCCACCCACCACAACAACAGCAGCAGCATCATCGTCAACAACCTCAGCCTCTCGTTGAATTGGAAGATTTCAATGACACGAACAATCTTGAGACTAACTATCTACAACAGAAAGAACGTCACAACGGTTCAGCTCATCTCTATCGTTCCACTCCCGATTTTGTAACCTTGTGGCTCAATAATGACGTAACTGAAGATGTCAACAATAATAATGGTGACGACGACGATGATGATATCGGAGACTTTAACTTCGATGAGTATGCTAACGAATGTTCCACAGTGTTTTGAGAAAATATACTAGAACGATGACGATGATGATAATTGTAAAGGTGGTGACGAGACGATGTTCCTGCTGACCGCCTTCCTCCTTCCCATCGTCCACGCGTCCTACGTTCTCACGTAGTTAGTTAACCTGTGATAGAGACTTCAGAGGACCTCACTTTCAACCGGTCACTGAATTCACACCTGCTTCTTCATTCTTTCAATTTTTATTCTTTTTTTGATTTATTCACTCTTTCAATTTAACTTGTTATATTCCAATATATATTATTTTATCGATTGACATTTTTATTTTTAAAATTTTTTTTTGGAACAAATCTAGTCCATCCATCTAATCATCTGGCCATTTAATATAGCCCTTATCTGCTAGCCCCGTCATATTTTCACAAATTTGTAAGTCAGACTTCTCATTTATTACATATCGCATTATTTACTTGTTTATTTATTTAAATATATTATAAACATATTTTGGTACATGGTTTTAAATTTTACCGACCGTATATAAATGAAAGTTTTATTATTGAATGTATTTACTTTCACATGGGCACGTAAACTTTTGTGTTATAAAATTACATGATTGTCCTCGCGCCAATCACGACACGAAGCAGTGAAATGTCTCGTTACCACCTTAACATAATAAACATTCACTGAACTTTTTCATATTTCGCCGCAATAAACACGTTCTTATTCTCTTTTTGGTTTTAAAGTTGGCAGCCTGTAATATTGATACGTTATAATTAAAAAAAAATCAAAACGTATACTGTTAAAAAATTTCAAATATAGGCAATTGAATAAAATTTATTTTATATATACGTATTAAAAACCGTATATAACACTATATAACTATATATAATCAATAACTCTACATAACTATATATAAATTTAACCGTATATTACACTATATAATAAAATAAAATCCTATAAAACTCTATATAACTATATATGCATATTAACAACCGTATATATATATATATATACATATGTATATATATATATAAACCATTTTGTATATAAAAATAGAAAGAAAAAACAGTTTTAGTATCAGTATACAGTTTAGTTTGAACAAAAAAAAGACTATATAAAAAATAATTAAAAAAATCTTTCAAAAAGTTAAAAAGTATAAATATATATATTTGAATAAATCTCTTAAAGACACAATTCAAAATTAGGATTTTCCCATCTTTTTCCAACGTTTGCGTATCGGTTTTGTGTAGGAATGATGTTGCCGTTGTGTCTCATGATGTTCTTGAAAGATTTCTTGTTTTTTATCACGTTGGTGCGCTGGCTGTTGTATCGCAGATTTTTTTTCGTTAGCGTCACTTTGTTGAGCAACTCGTTGAGATGATTGAAAAGGTTGTTGACGAGCACATTGAAGTATATTTCGTGAAGGTTGACTGAGATGTTGTGATGATTTTTGAGGAGATTTCTGAAAAACTTGTCGAGCAGCTTGCTGAAACTGACTTTTCAAAACAACAGGTGGAATTTGTTGTTCGCGATCCTCGTCAAATCTTACTGATTGCTGTTCATTGTCTACCGGCAAACTTTCTTCGCGTCGCCCATCAAGAAGTAGTTGAAGATGTCGTCCTTCTCCCGAATGTCGTGGACGGCCTTCTTTGTTCAACCTCTTCTGTGATAAATAATGAAAATTACTAAAACGAAGTAAAATCGAAAATAAAGCAAACATCGTAAACCTACATTAACTGAAAATGGCATTAAACAAGAATTTAACGCTCTAATTCATCAATCAATCAATTCGTTTTTAAAGCCCCATTTCCGCGATGTTCAACAGCTCTCTTCAACGAATTCTATTAAAAGATGAGTTTTGAGATCCGCTCTAAACTTAATAAGTGATGGAGTAGTTATAAATGGATAGAAAGTTCCAGAGAAAAGTACCAGAAAAAGCAACGCAGATTTAACGTAAAAGTGTTTAACAGAAGTGTTAGGGTAAGAGTAGAAGAGATAAGGGTAGCATAAAAAAGATCAACAGGAAAAAAGATCACGGAGATAAGGAAACTAAAGCGTACAAAAAATCATTAAAAGAATGATCTAGCAGTCTCAAGAAAATAATATGATCATGACGAACTAGTAGAATAAAATGAAAAAAATCACATAATAATGTAAAGATGTACTCACTTGGCAAATGTTTAAATCTGAAAAAGTATCATCGTCTTCCACACAATCGATGTCAGGTGTTAAAGTTTGCTCACGGTTAATGCAATTTGGTTGGTATGGTTCATGCGTGGAACAGTTAGCACCACTGTTGACGCCATCACCAGCGTTGCCAGCTATATTGTTTGCCCCGTGGTGTTGAAAATTATGATCACCGTTACATACATCCCCATCCTCGTCGGTCACCATATTGGACCAGATACATTTGTGCTCCTCCACGTCTATTCCCACTTCTTCGTAATAATTTCTTACTATTCGTCCGCAATCAGCGACGTTCTCACCGCCAGAATCATCGCCATCGTTATCATCAACTTCATTGCACGTATGTAAAGATGACGAAGCAATGACAGATTTGTGGAGATGAATACCTTTTACTTTATCACATTCTTCATCTTCCTTCATAACATCACTACGCTCCCATTTTTCTATTGGACTCAAATATAACACTCGATTCCTCTTTACGTTACAACTCATGCTGAGAAAATGGCGGATACTTAGTTGAAAAATAAATGGAACCTCAATAAAGTGATATTATATATGAAAAGAATAGCTAGTCATTGACAAATGCAGTCAAAATCGATTTAATTTGTCACAACGGTTAAATCGAAAATAAGAATTTAGCCAACGATTGAATTGGAGTTTTCGAATAAACAAACCTGTCACTAGCGCTAGCACAAACAACATTTTGGCACATCTTGCTGCGGAACTTTTTAAAACTGTCCACGTAATCAATAAAGTTTGAGTCGCAATCGAATTTCGAGCAACGATTATTACTACCAGCGGCCAGTCCGTTCCTATTAAAATTATCATGTTTATTAATATCGCGTTTGCCATCTTTATTTGAGACAAAGTCTCTTTCATCTTCATTCTCATTTCTAACAATTTCATCCTTTTCTATTTTCTTCTCGTTCACCAAATTTGGAAAGCTGATACCTGCGCGATATTTAAAAGCTATGATTTAGTGTAGTAAGGATGAAATTTATTTAGAGTAAAAACCATAAAATGTGTAAACATGCCTACTCACCTTTACAAATTTCCATAGAATCTTTCTTTAAATCAACAATCTTTTCAGAAGGACAGAGACTTGGATTAACGTTATTCGAGTTTTTGTTAAGTTTATCGATGGAAGCCCTTTCAATGCTACCCTTATCGGTTTGCAATCCAAAATTAGCTATTTTAACTGCAGTCTCGTTGCTAGCGTTTGGTGTGGAGTTCATGTTGTAAGCACGTTTGAAGAGGAGTTTCAGATTGGGTTTGTTCCTGACGTTCCTGCTAATATTATCGTAGGAATCATTATTAATGCTACAACTAACATCATTAATGATTATCTTTTTTTCATTAGTGGTATCCGAAGCAGATGATGATTCCTCAGAAGCTGCAGTAACTTTCTCACAAGAACGTTTTTCACTCAATAAATTTTTTGTTTTCAGTTCTTTTAGCAGTTTAGTTTCAATGTTTGGTTTGCAATGCTCGTTGATATTATCTACATCTTTCGAATTGTCAGTTCTCGCACCTTTAATTAAGATTGGTATTTTAGTTACCTGACAACAACGATCACCATTTCGCCTTAAGAATTTAGTTGATGCTGTCACCATGACACTTTCACTAACTTTACAATTAGCTTCTGACTGTTTCTCCAAATTGTGGCCAGACTCCAAGTTCGGTTCATGGCTATTTTTTACGGAGTTCAATACGAAACTATCCAAATTTGCAAGCTTATTTACATTTTCATCATTTGTAACACTATCCTGTGCAATTTGATTTTTTCTTCTGTCTCGTCTTCTGGTGAGCGAAATATTGGAGGAGCGTTCCATTTGAAAGCATGGGTGTTCAACACAATCATCGGCCGTCAATCTCATGCTTGGATCTAATGCTAGGACTGACTAAAACAACGAACAAACGAATAAATGAAAAAAGTTTTATATTTGAAATATGGTATAATTTTAAACGATTTAAAATTAATGTTAAAAACTAATGAATTTAATTGTTATTGATCTTCTTGATTAAAACTTTTAAACAGTACAAAATAACAACCACAAAAATCTTCTTAATATAGTCATTCCCACGTAACTTACTTGACCACGCTTACACCTAATTAGTAACTATTTAATGAACAGTACTGTACAACATTCCAGAATTACAACTTTACTGAACAGTAGAAATTGTATAATGATATGCAGCAACCTTCAGAAAACTGAGAAGAAGAGGAAGGAGAATATTTTTGAAGTTAGCATCCAAGCTGCTTGATTTACCAGCCGATGGAAACTAAAAGATGAAATGATTTTAAACAATTTAATTCTTCAATTTTATTTATAATTCTCAAAAATTTTATATATTTTGTACAAAGTAAAATTTTAGAAAGTTGAATTATTTTGCATGAGCAAAGCTGCCAAGTAAAACAAAAAAAACTAACGTGAAGTAATTTTAGAGTAAGTTAAGATAAAGAGATGAATTCATATATGATAAAAAATAGATAAAAAATGTAGATTCAGAAAAAAACTTACATTCCAATGATCGAATCTGTGGTTCTTGAAGAAATATTTAACCATGGCGGGAGGGAGGGGTCCAATTATTTCCTGGATCAAATAGAGCTGATCAATTTCACTCTCACCAGCAAATAATGGACGACCATTGCTCAGTTCTGCCATGATGCATCCAACGGACCAGATGTCCACTGGCTTCCCATATGATGCTCTTCATTCGTTAATCCATCAATCAATCAATCAATCAATCAATCAATCAATCAATCAATCAATCAATCAATCAATCAATCAATCAATCAATCAATCAATCAATTCATTCATTTATTTTTTAAATTTTTTTATTGAACAAATTTACACAAACGGTAAAAATCACTTATTTAAATGAAGTGTTAGCCAAACTGAAATAATTAAAAGACGATTACGAAATAATTGAAAGATGATATTGAAAGATGATCTTAAAGCCTTGAATAACCAATTCGCTGAGCAAGCAACATAGCGAATCAAATAATATTTAAGACCATAGTGCAACGTTGCCAACCAAACAACATTACAGATCAATGCCGCCAATTCATCAACACTACAGACCCAAGTAAGAGTTCAGGTGCTCTGTACCACCTGGTAGCAACATATTCTGTCAGGTGGTTACCTTCTGATAAAGTAAGGTTTCTTGCAAAACCTTTTAAAATATTGCAAACTGAATTAAAAAATTATGTTTTTGTTTACATCTTGTATTTAGAACTAAATTATTTAAAAATGTATTTGCATGTCTTATTTTCATACCAAAGTCACAAAGTTTGAGGTCTCCATCATTATTAATCAAAAGGTTTTCCGGCTTTATATCTAAAAATGAAAATTTCAACAGCGACGTCAGAAGAGCATCAATGATAATAATTATAAACAAAATGTCAGCCTCTGTGAATGATATTTCGATCATGACAGTAGTTTACAGCCCGACAAAGTTGATAAATGTACCACTTCAACTGGTCCACGGGCACTCCATCTGAATATTCTTCTAGAATTTCCAACACGTTCTTCAACAAATGAAATAAAATTGAGTTTAACTAAATTATCAATTATTTAAAACTGAATAAACTTAATTTATATACTGATTCAAAAAGCAAATAGTAAAGACACCAACTTTTGGGATATATTCAAAAACAATACAAAGTTTCTTGTGTTTGAAAAATGATTCTTTGATGCTAACGATGTTTTCATGTTTCAGACTTTTCAATAACTTCAACTCTCGCATGTTTGTTATTTTCATATCTTCATTGTCTTTTTATTTTATGAAAAATTATAACATAAAAATTATTAACTTCATATGTAATCAAGTAAAAAACTTAGCATCATTATGAACTCCTATCAAATCAAAAGAGACTACCTCCAACATCTTTAAACTTCTTAATGGCACAAATCTCTCCAGATTGCTTGTGAAAAAATGTTGAAAAAATTAAGTTTACACTTTTACAGAAAAAAACACATAACTCAAATAGTAAAATTGAAAAAACACAGCTTAAATAAACAAGAATAAAAAATATTGTAAGTAATTATAATTAGTAATTGTATGATAAGAAAAATCATAAAAATATAACCTTGTTTTTGTACTTCATGACAATGCCATAAGCCCCTGGCAAATTTAAGATATATAGACTAAGTTGTATAGAGTTGTATAGAATAGTTATATAGGATTTTATACTGTGAAATATTAAGTTTTATATTGTTATAATTATCGTTATCAAGTTTATTGTTATTAAGTTATTTATAAAGATATACTATATGTACTATGTAGTTATATTGATAGGACTATATAGGCCATATAGGGTTAGGGTAGGTGGGTTAGGGTCACCTCTACTTCAACAAATGTACGTACAACAGCCTGCACTATGGCAAATTTCAGTGTACTATAAATAAGAGTATAAGGTTCATTATAATATAAATAAAAAAATAATAGATAATACTACAATATCCGAAAAATAAAATATATTCATTTTGTGGTAAATTAAATTTTTTACTTAATAATAATAATGAATTGAAAGAGGATGAAGTTCAGTTATTTTATTTTTAAGTTGTTGAACTAACCAACCTTCACCAATAACGTCGATGAATTTGTATTTGTTCATTTCATCACTTCAATGGCGGTCGGTTGGATTAAAAAAAGCTTCTATTTGAAATAATGGCGAGTTTAAAAAAATATGATTACTGGTGAGTCCGTTAAAACAAATTATAAATAATAAATCTTTTGAAATTAAAACGCCCAGCGCCCAGACGATAAAATCAGTTGAAGTGAAATTAGCTAAATAAAGCACAAATGTGCCGAAATATGGAAAGCCACCATTTTTTAAGAGCGAAAGAATTTTCAACCATATTTCTACAAACTCCCAAATGTTAATTCAACAAGAATGAATGAAACCTGTTGAGATTTTCATATAAATATGGTAATGACACATGCAAGGTAAACAAGAGTTCTGAAAATTCATCAATAATTGTTTCATAAATAATTTAAATTTGTAAATTGAAAGTTTCATAATTTTCATAAAAAATTTAACATTAAAATATTGAAATTAAATAATAAAAGAAACACAAAAAATCAGATAAAAATATATGTAAAAAAGCTCGCATATCTCTGATCTGCTTAAAATAATTAAACTATGCTTACACTAATCTATACAGACACTGAGTAAGAAAATAATGATTCATTATGAATAATAAATAAATTAGCATATATATATATATATATATATATATATATATATATATATATATATATATATATATATATATATATTATTTGTGTATATTCATCAAATTGTATGGCTCACTAGTGACCTGGTCTTTCTACGAAAAAAATAAAACCTTCATTGAAGTATAAAACATTTTTAGATAAAGGCAACATTAATAGAGGAATAAATATGGTTTTTATAAAAATATATTGCAAGTAAATTAATTATAAAGTCAATATCTAACGCAGCTTATTAGTTTTAAAATTGAAAAAAGGTAATAAACTTGAAAATTTTAAACAACTTCCAAACATCAATGAATGTTTTAATGAAGAGATGAATCTCATTCTACGGCTTCAAATCAAATGCAACTCAATGAAAAACAAGCGCTACACCATCAATGCCTTTCACGAAGTGGAATACATTTTGTAAAAACAACAAACGAAATTGCATGTCTGTATCTGCGCGTATGTATGTATGTATGTGTGTGTGTGTATGTATGTATTTGTGCGTGCGTGTGTGTGCGCGTGCGTGTGTGTGTGGGAGAGAGACAGAGAGTAGTTATAACATACATGGCTAAATATTTAGAAAAAGAATCATATCACATTAAAAAAAATTGAAAGTTTTGACATGCAATAAGAATTGAAATGAACAAAAAGTGACAGACTGACCGTGCACTGCAAGACACACAGACACCAAATTGAAATTTCAAACTGAAGACCTTCATTGGTGGCATGTACACAGTTACAGTTGTTAACAACATACAAATAATACTGTGACTCACACCGTCCATGAATGAATGGATGAATGAATGAATGAATGAATGAATGAATGAATGAATGAATGAATGAATGAATGAATGGGTTTTTTTAAACATTGTAAATATATGAAAAATTATAGCTCAATAAAAGTTGATGGACTAAAAAACATAAAAATGAGCGATAATAATGAAAGAAAGAACACAAAATCTAAAGAAAAATATACAAAGAACAAAATCATTATCATCATCTTCTTCCTCCACGTCATCATCATCATCATCATCATCATTATAAAGAATAGAAATAGATCGACAAAAAAAAATAACACAAAGAAATGAAGTAGGATAGAGAGAAAAGTTTGAAAAAAATGTTAGCACAACAATTAAGTGCTAGCAGATAAAAGAACGATGAAGAAGAATTGATACTACGCTTGAATGGATGGAAACATAGCCTTCACTCGTTTGCAGTGCAACACGTTACTACAACTCCAAAACACACTGCTGCCACACACACACACACACACACACACACACACACACACACACACACACACACACACACACACACACACACCCACAGACCACACACACAGGTGTGTGTATTTAAGGTAGATGTATCAGCAAGGCAAATTACATTCTGCACGTTGATGCATTAAGCAGCACAATTTATTCAAAACGCTATTGATACTGATGTTGCTGTTGTCGTTACTGGTGTTGTTGTTGTTGTTCCGCAAAGTACACGGCCATCAGGTAGCTGAAGTGGAGTTGGCCCTGTTTCAAAAATAAACAAAATGGCGATGATCAAATCAAATCATTAAAACAAGTCAAACAGAAATATGCCATTCAGCAAGAAGAAATAATCCGGACGCCAAGAAGAAGAAACAAAATTAAATTACTCGAAAAATAAAACATTTAACTCCAAAAAATTTACTAATTCATAAATCACGCTATAATGCCAGATGAATATTTCGAAAGTACAGCAGAAAATTTTTGATGTTAGTGCAATTATTATGATAGCGTATGCCATTCGAGATAAATAAAATCTACAAACCAAGAGGTTATTAAGAAATAGAGGAATTAGAATTACAATTGTTATTTTGAGCGCCTCACCCATGCTTAAAACTTTGAACGAAACGTTCGGTCTTCAGTATTCAACATTTGTATGAAGCAGTTAGGGAAAACTCTATGAACGCATGGAACAATTGTAATAATAATAATAATAAATAATAATAATAATAACAGGAAGACGTAGCAAACTGACGAGGTGGGGGAAGGTGCCTGGTCGAGTGCAGACGATGGAGCGGACGATTTGAAAGACGTCCACCTCATGCTCCTCTTGCAACTGCTCACGAATCTGACACAGTGCTACGAACATGCCGCTTATTGTCTGGCCGTCACTGTGGTGGTTGGTGGTGGATGAGATGAGACGATGACGAGACGATGACGAGACGATGACAAGGAGAGCCCCAAAAAATGAATCAAAATGTACGTAATTCAGGTGTTTGACTTAAAAACGGCGAAAGGCAAGACAGACAAGAGACATCAATTCAGCCCATCCCTTCAGAGCAGAAAAACTAACTCGCAGTGCACGATGACAGGTAGGTCGACATCAACGTTGCAGGACTCGGCATCCATCAAACCCATCAACCGACTGACATCCCTACACACCATCTCAAACTTTTCATCACTTTTGAACTTTAATAACGACGACGATGACGATGATGATGATGATAATAATGCTGCTGCTGCTGATGATGATGATGCTGATGGTATTAGCGCGGTTGATGTTGTTGATGGTAGTTTTAAATGACGCTTTGTAAAGTAAGCTTCAAGTGAATGGCAGGCAAACAAGGTGACCTGGCGGGGAGAGGTGTCGAAGTGGGATTTCGTCGAACTGTTCATCATCACCTGGGCCGTGGATGGATAGATGGATGGATAGATGGATGGGTAGATGAATGGAATGATCGATTGACGAATGGATAGATAAACGAATGAATGATCGAATGAACTGTGAATCCTAACCTCAGACAAGTAACTGAGTAGAACGACCCTCGCCGAAACACCCCCATACCTCTTGAACGACAGACACCTCAGGAGGAACGGTCCACACTCACTTTCTTCACCATCTTCCGGCCAGTACTGCCCATGGGACTGCTGCGATTGAGAGGACGGTGTGAAAGTTTGACTGACTTGTGGCGCAATCAAATGAAGTAGCAGTTTCATTCAATCGCCATCATCGCCACAACCTGACTGTCTGGTTGGAAGAAGTTGAGCATGACCACAACGCGACAATCATGTTCAAAGACCAGCCTCCAGAAATCCACCACAGTCTGAGGCAGAGGCATCTGAGTCGTTATGTAAGCGTTGCGGTACTTGTAGCCCTAGTGGTCATAATGATTGTGGTGGTGGTGGTGCCCTGCTATAGAAAAAATAAAAATAAGAAAAAGTAGAGTGACAACATTAAGGTAGGTGGCGTTGATGTAATCATTCGTTCCTTCAACGACGCTGGTCAGGAATGGGCGGGACTTGTCATCTGTCAATCACAACGGTGGATGAATCAATGAATGATCCGTAGTTAGTTCATCAATCAATCAATCAATCAATCAATCAATCAATCAATCAATCAATCAATCAATCAATCAATCAATCAGTCAGTCAGTCGCTCAACCACTGAATGAATAGTTAGAAGCAAACCTGGCAGAACGGTTGAGTAACGATTCTTATCAACATTGTCAGGCTCCAAGGCACAGAGAGTCACTTCAAAGGAAGATGACGTGATGGTCGCTGTGCTCTCCATGGCCACTTTTTGCAACAACTGTTGGTGAGGTTGTGATGTTGTTGCCTATTTCAATTGCTCACCCTCTCCATCGTCATCATCGATTTGCATTCATTAATTTTTAAAAGTATTAATTAATCTGAACAGTTGTCAACATGGAAAGAAGCCAACATGACCATCTTCATCCTCGCCATCACCCAACCTCATATTGCTCCTCCAACAAGCAGCTCCTCCCATTGACGCCATTTTGTTTCAAGATGGCGTCGACAGTCTGCCTAATTTTGGAGCCTTGAATGATGGTGTTGCCGAACTTGTAGGCCTCGAGAACTGCTTGGTACAGGAAGATATACTGCTCCTGACGAACAAATGAATCAATGAACCTTAGAAGCGAGAACGACATTTCAACCACCCAATCAACCAACCAGCCAACCAACCAACCAACCAACCACCCAACCAGCTAGCCAACCAACAAACCAATCAGCCAACTAACCAGCCAACCAACCAGCCAACCAACCAACCAACTAACCAACCAGCCAACCAACCAACCAACCAACCAACCAACCAACCAACCAGCCAACCAACCAGCCAACCAACCAACCAACCAACGACTAACAGGTTTCTGAACCATGTTGCATCGCTGCATCCTCAACATCGTCGTCGTCTTCATCACATCGACCATCCTCTCGCCCACACCAACGACCTCTTCCCCATCCTCCATCTCATCCAGCAATCGATCCATAGCGATGAACGCGCCCGACCTTCCAATCCCCGCACTGCAATGCACCACGATGACCCCACCGTGTGTGACGTCATGTGACCTTATTTTGTTCCTAAAGGTCACGACTTGGGCTAATTTTTCTGGAACTTTTTGATCCGGCCAGGCAGTAAAATGAAATTGCTTCACTGACCTAGTTTCGGAGCCTCGCCTCACGTCCAATGAGCGCACAGTGAAGTAGGTCAACTTGATGACGTCCGTGAGACGGACTGCGATGTCGCCGTAGACGCGTGTCGAGTTGAGTTTGTCGGGCCAATATTGATGGCATTTGATCTGCTCGATGGGGATGGTTTCAAATTCGTCGTCACCTCTCTCTCTCTCTCTCTCATGGAGGAGGCCAGGAAATGAATGAACCAATCAGAAAAAACCAGCCAACCAATCAAAAATCAAAACATCCAATCAATTACTAAACAATAAATGAACAATGGAGCGAATGAATGAATGAAAAACGAATGAACGAGTGAAATAATGAACAAATAGACGAATGAACGAGAAAACAAAAAGAAAGAAAGAAAAAAGGAAAGAAAGAAAAAAAGAAAGAAAGAAAGGTGGAAACCCACAGTGCTCCTTTCAACGAGATTGGTAACCATGACAACACGTCTGCACTGCTCCTGCCATATCATGCCCCAGAAATCAACAATCGTGTTCTTCTTGCAGCCTGGCGCCGTCAGCAAGATGATGATGGTGATGATGAAGACGATGATGCCGAGATGGTGCAATGATGATGATGACGAAGTAAATGATGATGATCCGATTGCAAATAAATTGAACATTAAAAAGCAGTAAAGACCTTGTGTGGCAATGTAGAAGCGCTCCTTCTTGTGCCCCTGAAACCGTTCAACACGCATCAATTTCAATTACAACAGCGGGAAACATTTATAACACATACAAACACATACAAACACATACAAACTAATACAAACACATACAAACTAATACAAACGCATATATACAGACACATAAATAAAAAAAGAAATCCCAAATATTAACACATTTAGATATATTCATGGATAGATGGATGGATGGATGGATGGATGGATGTATGGATGGATGGATGGACGGATGGATGGACGGATGGGTGGATAGATAGACAGATGGATTGATATATAAATCAACGATCAGAAAATGAACAACGTCAATGTAATTGGCATTGATGTAATCCGTCAATGGTTCATTAAAGTTGTTGTTGCTGCTGTTAGCACGTTTCAGCACGACTCGAGTTTGGTCGCCTGCAATGATCATGTTGAATGTAAGAGTGCTGAAGATGGCGACGATGATGGAAAATAAAATTGATGGCACAAATTTATGAAAATGAAGTCGACCAAAGATGAGCAAAACTAACAGGCAATGACATCCTTGAATCTATTTTTAGTAATGTTAAACGAGTTCGTCCCAGCTATTTTCGTCGCTTCTGGGCTTTCCGCTGGGATTTCCTAGAAATTATTTTTAATGATTACAAACACATTCATCACTACCATGCTAACAAATCCTCCTCCTCCTCCTCCTCCTCATCATCATCATCATCATAACCAACATCAAATTCCTGCCGCAGAGTTTCATATCCGTCATTCATTTCCGACTGCAAAAATTCTTCCAAATCCTGCAGTTTGATTGGATGACCAAGTTTCTCGATGTCTGACATACTTCGAACGTGCACGGACTTTGGTAGAATGAAATCTTCGTAAACTCTGTGGTTGCTGGTGTTGTTGGCGGCACTGCTGCCTCTGTAGCTGCGAACCCTGCCTCCGAGGTCAGTCACCTGATCGGCAGTCAAAACGCGAGATGACGGGCGGATAACTATCTTCGCCTGCACCTCGTTGCTCGAGTTTGATAGGACGTCATTGGCCATACCTGCCAGCCAATCAGAGTATAAAATGAGTTTGAATAATTTAATTTCATTGGTTAATTGAAGAAAATTAACGACGAACAAAATATTCGCGAGATATTGAAAAAGGCTGACGATACGAAAGATGACTCACAGACGTGGCTCGTTGTTGGCGGCTGGTGGCAGAGCTTATCGTAATTTTTCAATTTTTTCGCTTTCTTCTTTCTGTCAAAATGTCAAAGGCATCCACCGTCATTAAATCATCATCATTGCAGCAACCACCATCATCGCATCACCTCCAGAGCAGGAAAGCCACGGCGGAGCACGCAGCAGCCAGGAAGATGACGGTCGAAGTTACGCCAAGCGCTCCAACTTTCGCTGTCGACATCCCATCAACGTGGGCTGCATTTCATGCAAGGCATGTCGGTGTGATGATGGTGGTCAAGAAGATGAAGAGGAGGAAGAGGACGATGATTAAGATGATGATAATGCTGATCAAATATACAAATTTATTGGCATTGAATACAAAATAGGCAACGAATTAGCACCACGAACGATAATCCTCTGCCACTCTTTCCTCTACCAACACCTTACGTATGGCAACGCTTTTTGACGATCTTTCAAATTTTTAATCAACAAACTATTTTTAGTTCTGGTACATTTTTAACGCATTAGATTTTACTTAAATAAATACGATCACACTGGACATACTTTTTTAAAAATACAAGACTCTAAATATAGATCAACTCAATACGAATGTAAATCTTAGATTCGTCTATAAATTCATTCGTTACGATAACGATCATCTTCTAAATTCACCAAAATTTCTAAATTCGCCAACTGGACAGAGCGGGTCAGTAAAGAGCAGAAGTTAAAAAAATGATCGATCTTAAGCTGTAGATGAATTGTTACATTAAAATGTAGGTAAATAAGCCGAATCTATTCCTATAAATAAACCCTTTAAAACATTTTGCAATGGAAAAACTACTGAGTTGATGCATTGTATGAAAAAGTGTCTAATTTATTTTGTTCAACTGAGCGGTTTATAAGTAAATTATTTCATTTTTGTTTAAATATTAAGCTTATTGCTATAGATTTCATTGGTTAATTCGTTTTATTCCTGCTTGATCATTGTATTGCCGTGAACTTGCTAATTCAACATCGAGTTTAATTCGATAAATTTAAATAAAACTGGCTGGATCCGAGCGCACATGCTTAATGTGGCCAGCCTAAGTGTGTTTCTTTCTTGATTGCCTGCTTGTCGAATGAAATTTTGAGAAAAAAAAATGGGAACTGTTGATCAAATGAAATGTAGAGAGTTAAATGATTAAAATATACAATTGCAAATCGAAGCAGAAACTAATCAGTCAAAAAAATAAGGAGATAAACAAGTAAGACAAAACAAACCATCCGACAGGCCAGGGTAGCTGCCATTATTTTCATCATATGGAGTGCTAACCAAGTACAAATCACTGGAACTTTCAAGCCGGCCGTTGTTCACCGCAACCAACTTCACTTGATAATTCCTGCCGGACAGCACATCCCTAGTTAGGTAACAATCATGTCTGTCAGGTGGTACTGTTTCTTTCATCCATGGGGACGATGACGAGAAGGATGCTTGCTGCTCCTGGTAGAAGATCTCATAGTAGAGAACTTTGTCACAATTGGTCTCGCTTGGCAGGAGTTTCTAGAAGGAATAACGGATTTGAAAAATAAATAAAAACATGATCCATGAAGAAGACAAGAAAAACGTGTGAGTGAAGGAAATATAACATGCAAGCAAGTTATTATTATCATTGTTAGCAGTAGCAGTAGCAGTGATAGTAACATCAGTATTAGTGGTAGTGGTGGTGGTGGTATTGTTGTGAACAATGATAGATGACCTTCCAGAGGACGTAGATGATTGGGCCGCTGAGTTCCTCCGTGAATGAAGTTACATTCTGGATGAGGACACTCCTCGGAGCTGCATGTAATAAAAATAAGATTAAATAATATTGATAATAGAACTTTAAATTCAACACTTCAACCAGTTACTAATAGAAATTAATATGCAATAAATGTTAATGAGATCTAATTAATATGCGAAAGCGTTAATGAGATCTAATTAAAATGCAAAACCTTTGCAGCTGGTCTTTAGGTTGTTACTGGAGAGACTCAACTCGCCCCAGACGACTCGATTGTTAGGCAACAACAAATAACCAAAAACACAAAAAGTATAATTTGTGTTGAACTTTAAATTCGGGATATTCGTTTCGTACGTGTATTTGCCTGTTGGTGGAGAGAGATTTGTCGTCGTCGTCATCATCACCAGCTTCATCATCATCCTCATCATCGTCATCATCACTTATTGAAACTAGCGCTCACCTTGCAAATATGGCACTTTGAGGTCAGCAACCGCCCAGCCCTCCAGTAAGCGATTGACGATCGTCAAGTAGTTCGTTGAAGAGTTCTCATATGCCTGCTGGATGTCATCGATGGATGGACGGATGGATGGATGGATGGACGGATGGATGGATGGATGGATGGATGGATGGACGGATGGGACGAAGAAATGAATAAGAACAAGTGAAAGAATGAAAAACAAACAAATGAATGACGAAAGCAAGAACACAAATGAATAGAAAAAGTGAACAATTATATATTTGACAACGTATAGGTAAAATAGAAAGAAATTTGTTAGTGCGATCCCATCAAAAACATTTCTTAAAAAAGTTTTAAATTTTATTGAAAAATTTTCAACTTCATCTCACTCACAATCATTCCCATCATCATCGTACCAACCAAGACATTGTCACCGATGACAACTTTCAAAACATCCTCGGTGTTCATTTTCTCCCTCTGCCTCACATCACCATCTCCCTGAGATCCAGTCAAGTCGTCATCAACTTCGCTACCATCAAACTCCTCAAACCTGCCCACCCTTTTGTACAGCACAGCAAACATCATGCTCAAGCCGTCGACCACGTTCTCTTCGTTGTGGCAGTTCCAGAGAATGTTGATGCTGTCCGACGTTTCAAAGGAAGTGTACGGAGTTGAAGTTGGCTTCGGAAGAGCTGTGCGTAGGTGTGTGTGTGTGTGTGTGTGTGTATATGTGTGCGAGCTCTGTGCTATTTGCGTCTGAAGGTCCGCCATTATAACATTTAAAACAATCGTCACCTACAATCATCATCACCATCAGCATCGTGGCTGACTTGTTTGACAAGAGTATCCAAACCAGAGAGGGTCGCAGAGATCCCTCGGACACCTGCCGTCAGTGATGTCGCAGGCCACAGCGCCGGCACAATGACATTCATGCCTGCAATTCGATCCAAACCATCCCTCCCTACAGGCTGTTGTATCGTCGCCCCATTTCAAACGTTCGTACATGCATAATAATAATAACAACAACATATGATAATAATAACAACAACAATTGGCGCAAGTAAATTCGTTAAGTCTTATCTAAAATTAACAGTTCATAATGAAACAACGTAGAAGTCGTAAAAACTTGAATGCAGACTTAACCACAAAACAAAAATATAATATAAATCAATTTACGACAACCATCAATTTAAAAAGAGTTGCAAATTATTGTGATCATAAACAGATTTTACTATTTTAAACACTTTAGCATCGTCAGTATAATGATATAAATCAACGAGACCGCTTTCATCACATACCTCAAACATAGTTCTAACACAAATTAGAAACATTATGTGGCCTGGAAGACTACCCAGAGGAACAAAACTCTTAAATTTGAAACTTTCTGATATACACTCATCTAATTTTACCAAAAAATTTCGAATTTGAAAAATTTCATTCTCATAACAATTTTTTCAAAATAAATTGAGTTTTTCGTTTCCAAAGCACATCATTTAAAATTATAATAACAATGGGTCGAATTCAGGCTGTGGGTATCAGTCAATGAAACAAAGGAAATGATTACTTTGTTTCGAGATAGATGGATAGTATTAAGACAAACAAACAAACAGAAGAACAGACATACACACACACACACAAACAAATAAACAAACAGACAAACAAACAAACGGATATACAGACGAAGACTTAGACACTGATAGACAAAGAGACAGACAGATAACTAGAGTCCAATCAGACAGACCTTCCTGACAACTGATGCCCTTCCAACCATAGTCGCAGATGAGGTTGGGACACTGGCCATTCTCAACTCTGCAGACCGCCTGGTTCATGCAGTGACATGTCTGGTTGCATGTGTTGTTGAAGTAGCCAGGCAAGCAGGCTGCACGATTTCATTATCATAGAGATGATAATGATGAAGATGATGACGAGATAATGATGATCAGGGTTATCACATGAAAATATGATATTCTTCAAGATCATCATCATCCTCATCATCATGAACAAATCTACCCTTAAAAAATTACAAACAACTTACTGAAAATTTTGATCTCACATAATTGCAGATGGTTTCTGGAGGCCAGATCGTTGAGATGAATTGCTTTAGCGAACATAGGGTCTCTACCACATATCCTCGTTTTGTGTGGCAGTTCGTATCTCTTGGCACAAATGATTTTATTGAATCGGTCTTCAATTTTTTTTGTTCCTTCCAAAGTCACTTCAATTAGAGTGTCTAATGACTCATCATCTTGTGTGTTGTTGCATTGTATTGTTAATTGTAATGTCGTAAAAAAAGGTCTGAATATAGTGTTACAAGGATGTCACTAAAAATTTTTAAAAAATATTAAAAAAAATAAAAAAATAATGCATCTATTTTAGCAAAGAATGATCAAATAGTAATCTGTTTGTTGAAAAGAGCAACTGACTGTAGTTATATAATTCGATGCTTGTAATGAATGTTGGCTCCAGTAACTTGATAACTAAATCTGATGCATTGATCACTGGGCAATTCATCATCTCATCATCTGACAAATGAAGAATCGCTTGCTCCTGTTGCCTCCTTGTTACATCATACACTTCTACATCCAACTTTTTTTCACGAACTGTTTAAAATCATTTATTTGTTATATTACATGATATAACACACTTTATTATGTTACAAGTATAAGCAATAATAAAATAATGGGCTTACAAAAAATAAACAGAGAAAGACATAATTAACATTCTAATAAATTAATTAATTTAATTAATTAATTAATTAATAAACATTTCAATCACAATGTAGACAGAAAAATTAAATTATATTAAAATTTTTTAAAAGTGACGTGAAAAAATAAACCCTCTTCAAGGTTGGCCTGGAAAAAAGAGTGAGCAGTGACGAGAAGGAAGATGGTGATACTGATCAGAGGACACTTACACATGAAGACCTTTAAGAAGAACAGGCGGCCAATTTCAATCAACTTTATTATTCCATCATTGGCAAAATTAATACCAAAGATCATGATAGATGAAGAGATAAATTGAAACGAAAATGAAAAATGACAAACGCTGACTGAGGGATGTGTATCTACTATGTAGTATGTATGTATGTATGTATGTATGTATGTATGTATGTATGTATGTATGTATGTATGTATGTATGTATGTATGTATGGGTTTGTATGGGTTTGTATGTATTAGTACTTCTCTCTAATAAATTTTAATGCTAATCAATGTAATATGTAATTAATGATTAATTTTAATTAATCTAACAAAAAATAAATAAATAGTAGGTGATGATGATGAATTAAATTTTAAAACGGTTGGTTCGGTTATTGTTTGCTAGCTCTTCTCATTCAACTTCGTGAATAAACTCTTAAATGGCTCTTTTAAACGTTTTACAAAAAAAATCATTTTGTCACTATTTCTTCATAAAACACGGCTAAAAGTAATTTCATACAAATATAATTGTAGGTAATAACACAAACTAAAAGTAAACTTAGTGATTACAGGTGATGTTGTTGATCTTACTTGGATATTAGATGAAAAGCATCACAGTCATATCTATATCTCTACATCATATATACAGGCACTATATTCATATGGATACACACACATAAATACACAACATACATTTATATACACCTATATAACATATATAGATGCACTATTCAATACATTCTAACATCGAAACTTTTATAGCTAAATCGTATTGCCGAAACAGGATATATGATTAGAGCATCAACAAGAATAGATTTACACACACAAACAAACCATACACACATAAACACAAACACACAGAAAGATAGTGGGCATAGTTGTCATACGTCTGACGCCCTCAAGGCCCCGTCCTGGTCCTACCTTTTTTAAATTGCTGAGTTTTCAAAATAATCGAAGCATAGGATTTTGAACATAGGACACTGAAATCATTGTCAGCATTTCCGTTATGTCGTTTTGAAAGATTGGCTCGTAATAGTGTTTCAATAAAGTTGATCAATGTGCGAAGAGGCACTGTTTTAAAATTAACTTGAATCAACTCGTGAAGGTTGGGTTAGGGTAACTAACTTGAGAAACTTGAATAAAACGATCAATAATCAATACACACTCAAAATATATATATTGCATGAATGAATGAAAAAACAGGAAAAAACAGGCCAGTAACTAAAAGATGTTGACGGGACAAGTCCCTAATCAGGCTAAATAGAAGAATACACATCAATTCGTTCATTCATCACCGTCACAACTGACAGATTCAACTTGTGCACGCAACGAATTTCAACCATTCACATTACAATAGCCAGCGAGTCTTCAAATAAGATCATTCCCCCCCTGTCACAAAATAACTTTCAACAAAGAAAGCACGCTATGCATCAGGGTGTCGGTAGATTTTTGCCGAACTGAATTTTCTGAGGGGTCGTAGTCAGACATTTTTCATCCGACACCCCGCTGTGCATAGTTTTAATATTTTCATTGTAATACACGCACTGTCAACTGTGAAAACCGATGCAACCCTCCGCACGCCGTGTTAAACTTTATTTCAGTAAGAAGTCACACTGCAAAACAGACTACGAGCTGTATTCTGTTCACCTGTTTGTATCAGTTTTTTGGTGCAATGAACTTTTGTGGGAAAATTTGGATGTATTACAAACATAACTATTCTTAAGTTGAGGTGAACATTGGAACGGGAATCCTATGGGAATTGGTAAAACTTAATTTTCAGAAATGGGAATTTTAGGAAATTGTAGTTTGGGAGTAGGGAATAACGGGAGGGAATGGGAAAAAATGACATTTACAAGCGAAAATAAAAGGGTTTTTATAGGGGTATATATGAACACACAGGCTTACACGTGCGCGTTTACAAAGATAACCACCATGGAATCAAGTAAAATCAACCAAAGCTATAAATAAATTTTCTATATGTATATATATATTTTGGAACGAGGTATTCATTTATACATATATCATTCAATCCTAGTTGCCCATTTTGCATTAACTTTTTTATTAGCAACTTAAAACGTCGAAGTTGTTGTAATTCATACTTATTAATAATTTGTGTCATAATTATTCTAAGAGCGTTATTTTGGCTGTTTCTTCAGAGTCTAGAGTAGACAAGATTATTATAAATTTGTTTAAAATCAAGAAAAAGAAAAATAACCCAACACAACTTAATACAACTCCAATACGACACTATATAATCCTATATAGACCTTATATAACCCTATATAACTCTATGTGAAACGAGAAGGAAAACGCGGGTATGAGTTAAAAAATAGAGAATGGAAATTTTCGGGAACGTTGTCATAAATGGGAATTTGGGAGAATCGGGAATGAGAAAGAAAATAGGCGGGGGTTTGGAACAAATTTCAATTCCTGCTCACCTCTATTCCGAAGCAAACAAAAATCAACAAAAAAATTTGAATGCTGACAATTTTTAATTTTAAACTGTTACAAATAACAAACAAAACATTTCTTAGATTTGATAAATAAAAAACACGATGTAAATGCTACATTACTAAAAAGTAGTGAATTTTAATGATTAACTGTCTTTAACTGGCTTGGAGGCTTTGGCTTTATTAGCCCTATCTTTAGCTTTTACTTTGGCCTGTGGAAAATGTCAACTGTTGATTAGTAAGTTGTATTACCATCTTCAAAATAGTAATGCAGTCTACATTAATCACAACAACAACAACAACAACAACAACAACAACAACAACAACAACAACAACAACAACAACAACAACAACAACAACAACAACAACAACAACAACAACAACAACAACAACAACAACAACAACAACAACATAATCAGAGCAACAACAACAGCAGCAACTTTTTCCATAAGCTCAGCCAGTTCTCCCTTCTCAGCAAGAATTTTGAAGAATTCGATGATGAATGGTATAAAGTTGTGACGCCTGCGAGCATTTTCGACCTGGTGACGATGAGTGATAATGACGGCGAACAGGATAGAAATGATGCTGATGTCAACGACGACGATGATAGAAGCAATTACAATGAAGACGACTAAATGAAAATGATGAAAACATAAAATCATAAAAAACAAAATGAAAGATGGCGTCGTTACTTGATACTGTTTCCTTTTGTTAATCTCAGCGTTCAAGAGATGTTTGTACTTTTCTACTTCATCGAGATCCTAATCAAATATTCGTCATCATTTTAATCATGATATTCAACATAATAATCATCATTATTATCATTACATTACATCGGGACATCCCAACCTATAGTAGCGGACTCCCTCGAGAGTTTCAAGAGGGTTTACACAGGAGAGGCCACCTTATGCCATCTAAAAATATATATCCAAATACATTCAAGGGAGCAATGCTAGCATTGACTCCGTTTTTTACTACCTATTATAGTGAAAAAGTTTTTCTTCACTTTTTTATGCTGAAATCAAGCAATAAAAAAGGTTGAATGCCTCAAGTTGCATGCAGGTAGTTCTATCCACTGTTGAGCAGCGGCTATAATTACTAGATTTGAAAAATTTCTGCAATAAAAGTACTTGTAAGGGAGGGAGGCCATGACATAAGTCAGTTTTTTTTAAAGAGGACATCAACAAAGAAAGGTGAGAGACACTGCATTACACTCGACATCTTCATCAACATCTTTAATGAACACTCAACATACTCATCATCGTCAGGAACCTGAGTATTTTCAAGCAGTGCTTCATAATGTTTTTTTTGGTCAGGTATGATGGCCATCAAACTGAAGTGAATCTCGTCTGCTTCATATCTGTCAATTCATTATTTTTTATTATCACTGTAGTTATGTCCCATACAGTTATAACAATATAACAAATATAAAAAAAATAATATCAAATACTTTTGAATGCGTTGTTCTATGACCAGTTTGGCATAATTCAGCCACTCGCTTTCCTCTGGAATGACACCTGCTCAAGTAATTATCATTATTTATTATAATTTATTACCTACAGTTTATTATAAATTTGAATAACAGCTGTTAACAAAATTGTTCAACGTTATAAAAATCATGATCTGATGTAAATACAAAACAACGAAATTATATCAAAAAACTTTAGGTTACACCATGATCAATTGGCCCTTCTTGGAGGCCATCGAGTTCATAGAGGCGACCATTTATAGGGATGTACCCGATGAAATGATATGCTTCGTCATCTTTTTTCATGTTTTCGAGTTCCAGTTCAAACAATTGTTGTCTGTGTCAGTGAGATTAGAGATATAGAGCAATGCTTCACACTCCGCGGTTGTGGGTTTACAACTTTTAGTCAATATAAAATGTCAATAAAATATGTTTTAGCATTTTAAAATGAAAAATATTATGTGCAACGAATGAGTTTGCTTCATTTTATTACTTCCTTAAAGTGCAGTCGAGATGGGGACAGTGCAAATAAATAAATGGAAACAGAAGCGTTATTATTGCTTTGTATTCTGGCCTAAAGCGTTTTCAAACTGCGCCATCAGAGGCAAGCTACAGAAGATTATTATTTTCCAATCTTACAGTCAAGTTATCTTCAATTCCAACAAAATAATTTCAGCAGGATAAAGGCGTACTTTTATTTTCAGGCAAACAAACGGTTTTAATGCAACCAAAATATTATGAAATTATAAGAAAAACTAATCTAACTTTAATCATAAATACTCTATAATAATTTCACTAAATTGCAAAATAATTTCTTTCAAGCCGACCTCAAACAAAAGACAGTAAGCTATTTTTAAAATGTTGCAAATCTATACTTTCAGGTCAGTTTTGTAACCATGTGTTTAAACAGCTGATCATGTTCATTACAACAAAATCTACGTATTTAATCAGTGTTCACGTGCTCATTTCCATACTCATCCTGCATCTTATATTAGTCAGTTGTTTTTGAATAGCTGATGAGATGATTGGTTGCACTAGTCGGTCATGCTTTCTTTCACATGCCAGTAAAATTCAACAAATTTTTTATTGTGTAGCTGGTCAAGTCAGAGCTAGGATTTGGTTAATTAACTTTTTTGGCAGCTCACCGATTGTTTCCCCGACTGGCATCAGTTCGCAGACCACCACTTTACTGAGCACTGAGATAGATAATCACCAATGGTGAATGCATAAATAAATATGTAAAAAGCAAAATACTGCTATATAATACAATTTTCATTTTGTTAAACACAGTTATCAAAATAAATAAAAATAATAAACGTAAAAAATGACTTGGCAAAACTGTTGTGTGTCTGTCTGATGATGTCCGAATTACTTAGTGCCAGCCCCTTGGTCTGAATATTTGCATGGTGGATGCAAAATATTACAATTAATAACATAAATTAACACATTTAAATCTATACAAACATTGCTATACATGAGATAATCATTTTTATAAATAATAATTATATATTCTGAATATGATTACAATATTCAATTAACAATTTAAATGAATGTACATAAAAAGTTGAAATCTGACAGTTGGATCGAATCCTCTGGTGAAAGTCTTGAAGGAGTTCAACGTCTCACCAAGATCAATCTTAGCATCAGAACAGTTAAAGAGAATACTCAAGATGGCTTGAGTGGCACATGCATTGTTGATGACCTGTGAGAGTCATGTTGTCTCACATTACTTAATTGAGAGATAGAAATAGGAGAGGATAGAATTGTGATCTTTAGGGTTAAAGTCAGGAAAGAGTAAGCACTAAAATAAGAATTTTGAATTAAAGTATTTAAAATTTAAACTTAAACTAACTAACTTTAAATTTAAACTAACCTGCTTGGCAAAGAAAATATCTCTAAGCCGATCATCTCTGATGACGTTTCCTTGCAGATGCATGTCAGGCTTCCATTTGAACAGAAAAATCAAGCCATATATTGGCCTGTTGAAATATTGTTATTTATTTATATGTGAGTTATTGATCAATGAGCAATGTGTATGACCTCTAATTAGTTTTAACAATGTTGTATGCTATTTTTAAAAATTTTCAATCTCTTCACATTTAATTTGATGAGACATATATAAGAAAAACACAAATAAAAGAATAAGATGAAAGATGAGCAAAAACCAAATGATTTGGATGTGATAATAAAAGTTTCAGTGAATAAGATTATTTTATTTTTAAATTGAAGGCACCTGCCTAGAAAATGAAAAACTTTCAGCATCTAAAGACCATATTTCTTCAACCTGCACTCCAGTAACACCTGTCAATCATAAATTATTTTGTTTTGTATTAAAATTTTTTTAATTATTAGTTCATAATTGATTTTATAAAAATATCAATCCCTATTTTTCTTTTTTTTTAATATTTAATTTTTTAACTTTTGACAAAACAAAAAGAAAAACTATCAGAGAATTTATTAAACTATCAGAGAATTTATTTTATAAATTTTATAAAATGATATAAAAAAGTAATAACAAAATTAAAAATATATAAAGTATCTGTAATTCATTGTTAGTTTTAAAAAGTTAGCTATTTACAATTTTACATTGATTCAATAAATTAACAAAAATAATATTATTAATTATAAAATAACCATACATTTCTAAGAAAGAAAAGAAAGAGAGCAAAAATGAGAAAAATAGTTAGCGACCAAATTTTGTTTTAAAACTTTAAAATTTCTAATTTTCCGATTAATACTCACCAAACTGGCAGATAAGTTCAGTGAAGACGCCAGGATCGCTCTCAATCAAACACCAATCTCCGGCTGAGGCCGCCATTTTTCGAATTTTGAAGCAGATTAACTTTTAGTTCAACCAAGAAATACTATGATTGAAATTTAATCGACACACTACACACTGGAGAATGAATTGGAAAATTGTATATTATTCTAAATAACGGGTTTTAACCGGCACATATATAATTATACGTATATTCTATAACTATATAGAATATAGAATAATTATGGTCTATTACCAACAATAACAGGACAATGACAATTTCCTTCTTATCAAATATCTTACATACCTTATATATAATGCACTGAAGATGAGTTATCTATAACTCGAAATAGCTATTTGCAAATTTATTTAATAAAAATTTTAAAAAAAACATTAAAATGTCTAATTTCTCTGACATAAAAAAGAAATATAAAAAAGTTGAACAATGTTGAAAGTAGCGTTGAATTTTTGAAATAATGCGTTAACAACAGTCTGTTACCAGTATATATATATATATATATATATATATATATATATATATATATATATATATATATATATATATATATATATATATATATATTCACAGTATTGTATGAATTCTACCGAATTGTTGGCCTTAATCACTTTAAAGTTTGTCTTTTCAATTTTCCAACACTGACAACGACACAATACTATATTATAGAAATCATATGTCAACGGCACAAAATAGACGAAGTCGTCCTCAAACAAATCATAAAAAGGAACGTTGCACCAATCAATGATACTAATAAAATAAAACTCAGGATATACTACAATAATTTTAAGACATCACAATTGGTCTCAAAGAAAAACTGTACTCCTCAAGACGATTCTACTTTGAAGCCTAATCAATAATCATGTAATATATGAATTTAAATGCCCTATTGACGACTCTGCGCGTCAACAACATTCGTATTTTGGTGTTACGACCACTTCACTATCTAATGAATATTGCCTAACACCTTTCTTTATTTCGACAAAATTAGTCATCTTGTTATCAACTTTCATCGCTGCTCTTTAGTCCCAATAGAGGTTTTTGATAACTCTAGCGTCTTTTCCGTCAATGTCCAAATTTTCCAATATTTCCATAAGCTTCACGTGTTTCAGGCTATCAAAAGCTTTGGACTAATTGACAAAACATATAGACAAGTTTTTCTTCATTTCAATCGCTCGTTCACTGATCATTTGTAGCATAAAGTTAGCGTTTTTTGTGCCACAATCCTCTACAAAACCACATTGGACATTTGAAAGTTGTTATTGAATATCTGATTTTGCTTCGTGCTTTCATGATCAGAATTCTCGAGAGAAGTTTTGTAAGATGACTTATCAAGCTGATTTTTCGATGTGGTTCACATCCTGTTGAATTAGGTTTTATTTTTCCTCCGCATGTGAATAATTTCAATTCATTTTCATGAAGTATTTAGTTAGACCATAAGCCTGACCCTTTCCATTGCTTGTGCTTGGTGCACGCCGAAAGTGTTTAATCTCTAAAGTCTAAATCGAAATAGGTTTGTCAGTTTGTTGAATTGTGGCTGCCAGTTTTCAATTTAAAAATGGAGGTCTGTAATAATAGTGAAACAACTTCTTTTAAAATGGATTTGTTCAAGTTCGAGAAAGATTTTGATCCGTCCGCCTTTCACAGTTGGACATTGCAGTACTGGGACTTGACGTTCGTCTACTCGATCATCTACCTCGTCGCCATTTTTAGCGTGCAGCATTACATGAGAAACAGATCACGTTTCGAACTGCGGTCTTCCCTTATTTTTTGGAGTGGATTTTTGGCGCTGTTCAGCATCGCCGGTGCTGTGCGTACCCTGCCTGAACTGATCCATGTGTTGAGGTATGAAGGGTGGTATCAATCCATGTGCAATCCGTCTTACTTCACGTTAAGGCCAACATCTTTCTGGGCGTTCATGTTTGTCATCTCCAAGGTGTACGAGCTTGGGGACACAATATTTGTTGTCCTAACCAAGAAACCCCTGATTTTTCTTCATTGGTATCATCACGTGACTGTAATGATTTACGTGTGGTACAGTTACACAGATCATACAGCTCCTGGCAGGTGGTTTATGGTAATGAATTACATTGTGCACTCATTTATGTACACGTACTACACTCTGAAAGCAATGAAAATATCGACTCCGAGATGTATTAGTGTCGGTATCACTTTCCTACAAATCATTCAAATGGTCATGGGAGTCATTGTCAACTACTCAGTCTATTTAGCAAAGTTGAAAGGTCTGTCCTGTAATCAAACAAATTTCAACCTGGCTTGCTGCTCTGCAATGTATGCAAGCTACCTGATACTGTTTTCATCATTCTTTTATCATTCCTATCTCAAAACAAAACCCACAAACTATACTTTAACTAAACTCAGTCAGAAATCTGAATGATTTATTGATGAAAAGAATGATTCATTATATGAAATGTTTGAAGAATTGTTAAATAGATGCACTCATAATATTCATTGGTTGTTTGCAAATGTTTTCTAGTTTTCTTTAAAATACAATAGTAAGTTATTTATCTAGTATTGGATGACATTAATGAATGTCTTAAATGGACTTAATTTTTAAAATTGAAAAGTATTTAGCTGATGGAGTGAATGTTTGATATTAACAAATGATAAACTTAGATATTTAATTTCAATTTAGTGTTAAATAAATTGAAATTTTCTAATATTCTTGCTTTTATTTGCCTATTTTCATTGTTGTTTCCATCATGTTTTCCTTACACCATCAGTTGGTTCGTCATTCATCATCATCATAGTTTTTCATGGTTTTAAAAGAACTTATGTATGAGCCATCACATTTTGCATTGCAGTAGTTTTTACTTACATGTCATATTTCTTTGTTGACTAATCTTTTAACTAGAACAATTGATTTTATGTTGTTTGCAGGCATTAGCAAATTTCATTCGTTTCTTTTTAACTAGAACTTTTAATTCAAACTTATGTTACAGTTTCCATGCAAGCAAAATGTACAAATATAATTTAAACGTCAATAGACATGGAATGCACAAGGCTGGTGCATGCATCTCTGAGATGATTCTGCTTGCTGTCTGTGTGGGTGCTGCAAGACATTCTTGTTCATTTCTGTTTACTGCTCAAATAATCATGCATATAACTTTAAATCCGGTTTTTATTCATACTTTTAAAATCTGAACATATTTGAGTTGCCAGATTATCATTTCGTTTCATTTATGATATTTTATGTGTTATGTTATATATTTATAATTCAGACCAATATATTATCAAATGTTATTTAGTTATTTATATCAGTATATTTGTTGTATTATATCTTACTCGTTCTTCAATTGAATTCACATCCTATGTTTATTTTACCTTCTTCCAATTTTTAATTACTGTTCAATTTTGATTAACTGAGAAATGAGTTTTTTATGGTGAATTCTTTCATTCCATCATTCGATGCCGCTGTTTATTCTTTTTTTCATAACATGTTATTTAGTATTCCACTAAGGTAAATAATTTCGAAACCTTTCATCCATAATATGTGACATTAGTCTGTTCGCAATATCAAATATTGATACAATATTAAAGGTGTGCTGGTAGAATTACATTGCAAATATTGGTTTACGTTCTTAGTCGTGTCCATCTAGGTACGATTGTTACATTCCGTCAGTGGCGAAGGTGGGACATCGCGTTTTCATCATCTTATTACCCATAAAATTGAAAAATTGTTTACCAATGAATCACTGATGAAACAAAGTTGTTTTAAAAGCCGACCAACCATCACTAGCTGAATATGACCAGTGTGTTGACGTCATTGTAACTTTCTTTTTTGTACCACCTATCTTTATATTGTGTCACCTGCTTGTTTCAGACACTTTTTTGCCATTTTATTTCATCCAACTGCACTTATGTGATTAATTTGATCATCAAACAATTCTTTTAAGTTATATTTGTAAAAAATAAAATATAGATTTCTCTAATTAAATAAAAACGATTAGAGTTTAAAGCCTGTTGCATAAATATAAAAATATAAACTGTCGACTGCATCAATCTTAATGAATTTAAATTAATGTTTCATAATAGGAATCAAATTAAATTGCTAAGATCACAAGTAGATAAAAGTTTTTGAGCATGATGAACATGATTTTAAAATCTTAAACAAGCACTGCCAAACAATTTATTTAAACATTGTAAAAAAATAGTCTGAGAAGTTCTAGATTTGTATTTTAGGTTGGTGTAATTTCCCTGGCTACCAAATTTTGAGCGACCAGCTGAAGTGTGGACGAGTGTTGAATATCTAATTGTTTAAGGGATTGAAGCTTCTCTTTCAATCTGGTCACGTCCAATAAGCTCGCTGTCGAGCAGAACAAGCCGAATGTTATAAAATAACGACAATGAAAAGCAAGCGTACAAATTTACGTTTAGATAAATATTACGTTTAACCTTCAATTGATTTATCTTTGTTTTTTAATTGCAATTCAAAATCCCTCAGTTTATGATCTTCCTCCTGTTTCAATCTTCTAACTTCTTCAATTTTTTCTCGCTGCTTGTTTTGAATTTCCTTAGAATGAATTTTACTTTTGCTCAATTATGAACTTGTTAATTAATTAATGTAATTAATTATAAGACAATTATACAAGTAACTCAAATTAAATCAGTATACAAATAAGAAAATTATAAATTGTACGTATATATGTATAAATGAATGAATGAGTAGAACGCATGAATGATTTATTAATTAATATCAATCTTCGTTTAGCGTCCAGAGACCCAGTTCTCCCGAGGTAGGACGTTATTTTCTTTGCCATCAATTTTTTAGCGCCAAATTAGACGATCAGTTGTATCCATTTCATTTAAATTTAGAGCTTTCATGTCTTGCTCAATTTTGTTTGCGACCAGGACTTCTTTGGACGGCCTTTGGGACGTGTGCCAGGTACTTCAACATCTGCAAAAGAAGTTACGGCCCTGTTTCCACTTCGTTTGACATGACCAAACCACCGCAGGCGGTGTTGCCGGCATTCGTCCTTTATATCGTCTAAACCAGCACGGCGCAGGATTTCGGTAGTTTTGATGTTATATAATATAACACTATATAACTATATATAATCAATAACTCTACATAACTATATATAAATCTATATAACTGTATATAACACTATATAATAATAACATATATATAACAAATAGAACGTATCCACAGTAACTTTCAGATTTTCGTTGCTGATGTGAGTAAAAATAAAAAATTTTCAAAAGTACGATCAAAGCACGTATCTCAACCACAGAACTAACACAACCTAAAAGTGGGTCGTTATAGGTTTCAGCATCAACAACTTTTAGTTTTTCTTCGGATTTCTTTGAGTTGGGATCAAAGGAGGATAAAATAAATAATTAATAAAATAAGAGATAAAATAGAATAATTAAACAAATGGAAGAGGTGCAAACGTTAAAAACAAATTACAAAAGATAAATTAATAACCATTAAAAGTTCATCATTCTTCAGTTGTAAGAGATTTTTTTCGACGTGTAAGTTTTTTTTCTCACTTTCAACTGTTGTCAACTTCAGGCGTAGTTCGTTGTTAGCTCGCTCTCTTTCAATCTTTGCTTCCTCTAGGACTTGAATCTTTTGAGCCTGCAAATTTTTCGCGACAATTTTTAAGTTTAAATTGATCTGATAAAATTTAAAACAAATAAATCAAAATTATTCAATTATACACCGAATAAAATCAGACACAACGCGTAATACAGTGCAATAAGACAAACTTCTTCAATTTTAAGGATAGATTTCAATTTTTCCATTTCCTGATCTTTACTCGAAGTAATTTCTTTTATTTTATTGGCTTGTTGTTCGAGTTGATTTTTCAAACTGTTGCACTCGATATTCAGTGAGTTAATTTTTTCCTTCAGAAGTTCAACGCATGTTTCTTTCTCTTTTGTGAGCATTTCAATCTAATGAAAGAATAAAAATTTCTATAACGGACGTCGAAATCAATAATTTCAACTCATTTAACATATAGGAAACAAAAAAATCGTCAATTGGTGATATGTGTGGAACTTTTAAAAGAACGTGACATAATTCAACTATGATACTATTATACTTATACTATTCACACAACCAACACGACTGTTATGCCAGCCAGCACATCATTATGCACATGTGAATACAAACAAAACATACTTCTTTACTTTTTATGATTTCAATTTCGTTGCATCTTGCCTTTAATAAAGCTTCCTTCTCAAATAATAATTCTGTCAATAAAGATTTAAAATGAGAACGTCATTGCTATAATTATTTCTATTTATAGTTCCTGTTGAATTGAAAAACTGAAACACTATATATATACTCTGATAAATTGTTTGATCAGTTATCAGTTTGCTGTCAAGTTCGGCACATTTGTTCATCAGCAATGTTAATTTCTCATCTGATCTCGTTTTTTCAGCTCCACAATCTTTGATCTGCGTAATCAACAATTCAATCAATCAATTATTTCAATTCAAATATGATCATTCAACTGTAGCGATGGATCATTTTTTGGAAGACGTTTACATAGCTAGAGACTTAACCGAAATTCTAATTAATGCTAAAAGGTTTAATGACATGTTAATAATTTAATTGAACAGTGACAAACCATCAGGCAGTGTTTGTGGTACTTTTCAGAAAGATGCATAATTTCATTCGTCAACTTTCTTTCTCTTTCCTCGTATTCCTTCGATTTCATTGTATGTTTTGCAAATGTTTGAATTCTAGCATATTTGGGTTAATTTGTATGAGGTCATCATCAACAAATTTTATGTTTTCTCAGTATTTTCGATATTGCACCCGAATTTTCTATAAAAAAAACTTTGGAAAAACTTATAATGAAAAATTAAAAACATTGAAGCTAGCATAGAATTTATAAATCTAATTTTAGACAAAGTACGGATGTATGTCTGTGCATATGTATTTGTATATATATATATATAATATATATGTAATGATACTTTATAACGGTCAACTTACTTCTTTTTGTGTTTTGTTCTTTTCTTTTAACATTTTAATTTGTCTGTCCAAATCTTCCTTTAAATATTCTGTATCTTTCATCATTTTGTTAAGCTTGTCCTCTGCAAGAAGCAGCGCCGAGTTTCTGTTGTTGAGTCTGCATTGGTGATGTGTGTGTACCGCACATGCATGCGAGTTCTCTATAAAAATTCTCTATATCTGACACGTGTGCTTGTAATCAGATAAAAATCAGATAGCTGATCAGTACGACCGGCGCATTTAACAATATTTCTAGATAACGTAACAAACAAAAATATAGACCGGTTACTATTATTTCTATCATCTTAAAATAATAGAAAAAGTAGTTTATAATAATTATCTTTTTATCTAAATTCTAACTCCTTGCTACCTGCATCTCAATCCGGTTTCAGACCTGCTCACAGTACTGAAACTTCTTTACTCAAAATATACAATGATATCCTTCTCTCTAGTGACAATAGAAATCTTGCTCTCCTTCTTGCTCTTGACTTTTCTTCTGCTTTTGATACTGTTGATTATGCTATTCTCTTGAGACTGCTACATCTTTCTTTTAATATTACTGATTCTTGTTTATCTTGGTTTTCATCTTATTTCCGTAATCGTTTTCCTCTGTTGTTTTTAATAAAGCAACTTCTAACTCCTCTACTCTCACTTTTGTGGTGCCTCAAGGTTCTATCCTGGGCCCTCTTCTATTTATACTCTATACTCCTGAACTACCTCGTAATATTAATAATTTTTCTTTTTACTAGTCAACTATAGGCTGATGATTCTTATATTTATCCTTTTTTTCCTCCATCTAATTTCAATAGTGTCCTTCATAATCTGTCCCTATGCCTCTCTTCTATTATCATTTGTTCTAACTCTTTGCTTGCTCGTGCCCTTTTCTTATCTCATATATCTCCGTATCTTGTTCTCTTGCACTGCCTTCCTGTAAAATATAAATAATTTTTAAAATTTGCACATTTATGTATAAGTCTCAATCTAAATGATTTCTCAATTACTTATCAGATATATTAATTGAACTCAAACGCCCCGGTTTATTCTTAACTCGTGTTAAACACTCTTTTGTCAAATCTGCGTTTGGTTTTTCTGGCCTTTTTCTATGGAACTTTCTACCTCTTTCTCTAACTACTTCTCCATCACTTACGAAGTTCAGAGCGGATCTCAAGACCCATCTGTTTGCCAAGTTTACTGAAGACCGCTGTTGAACATAGCGGAAATAGCGTTTTACAAAATAACTGATAGAGAATGAAAAAAACATCGAATTGTAATGAATAAAAGTTGAATAGTAATTACTGATGTGAAACTTGGTTAACGTGTTTCTTTCTTTCTTGTAACAAATCATACAAATTGCCCATTTTATCAGACACCCATCTAGTTTGTTATTGTAACAAATGACTTTATAATATTAATAATAATGTAATAATTATAATAATACTATTTATTATAATGTTGAATAATTAAATATGAAAAGGAACTTTTTATTAAGTAGAAGAGATGCTTGGAGCTTATCTGCTTTCTTGAAGCATAACTGTATATGAAAATTTATCATTTCAGACTTTTGAATTCATAAGAATAATTTATTCAATGCTGTTTATGCATTTAATTTATTTGAAACATCAGGAACATCAAACAATTATAACCAACATAATTGTTAGCTGGCCACTCATCACAGCAGGCCAATGCAGGATGATTCTTCAACGTTGATTTCACCATATTCCTTGAAAGTTTCGCTTCTGTGATTCATGTTAACATCAAACATTCAACATACACCATACAGCTATTTCGAGTTTTTAATATGCGTTTAATATATACAATAAGGATTCTAAAATATGTAAATTCTGTAATTATATAGACCAATAGTTTGCAAGGTATCGATTGTGATATCATTTCCATCTAGCCTGAGATTTTGAAGCACCTGATTGTTGTCAAGCATCGATGAGAGCTGTCGGCCACCAATCAATCCTAATTTATTCCACCTGAGATCTTATACATCATACGTTGGTTGGATATTTGTATCTTTGTAAAAACTACAGCAATGTATTTAATCTTATCAAAATATTAATAACGTAGCAAGCAAAAAGGAGGAATCAAGCAAAAAAGATTGTATAAATTTCATTAATTCAATCATTTAGTAAAGCATTTACAATGTAATACCCTTATAATCTATCTACTGATACATTACACTTCACTAACCAAGACTTTGTAGGGCATTGTTATATTTGAAAACGTCAGATAAATATTTGGAACAATTAGAATTGAGTTGGTTGTTAGAAAGACCCAAGATTTGGAGTGACCTGTTCACTTTTAAACTTTGGCACAAGTCATTGAAGTTGCTCTCCAACAGACCAATGTTATTTGAATCCAAATGTAAACTGTTGGTGTGTTTGTGAGTGTATTGGAAAATTAATTTTGGTAGGTGTAAATATGAGAGTTTGTGTATATACATGAGTGACTTAATCATGAATCACTATTTATCACATTTAAACAAATTTTTTTTACTAAAATTAAAAAACATTAAAAATGTATAGATTACATTTGAAATGCTTGAAGTTGTGGAAAGCTGTAGCAGAAAAGTTATGATAATGAACAATGTAATAGATGACAATGAAAAAATGATAATGCTAAATAATGAAGTTATCAAATAATAAATTCAAACCTATATATGAAAGTATTGGCCCTTAACAACTCTGCAATGTATGAAACAGATATGCCTCTCATTGAATTGTTCTGCAAAATAAACACAAAAATAACATTCACTGCCAAGTTTAAAATTTAAATCAACAATAAAAAAACATCTCCAATACAAGGAAAAATGGTATAACAATAATATATAATGTATATATATATATGTATTAGAGTTATAATTATATATTATATTATAATATATAATTATAACCCTAATACATGTATAAAAAACCACTATTCATTTGTGAGAACCTACTTTTAGTTCGAGAATTTTGCATGATGTGTTCTCTTTCAATGAACTACAAATACTCTTTATTCCTGAATATTTTTATTTTGTAATGGAGTACAAATGTTTAATAATCAATCATTCTTATTCTAAAATTTCTGCATCAAGCTTGACTAAATGAGTCAAAATATTTCAAATTTAATAAATATAACAAAGTAAAAAAAAACAAATGTTGGCAATGTTTTTCTCGGTTACTTCCTTGCTTAAATGTAAATTAAATATTTACATTGCAGCATAGCATATATATACGAACCTTCTTCATTCAATTGGCAGTTGTTCAATTTGATTTCTGTAAAAAGAGCATCATATTTTAAAGCTTTCGAGAGAGCATCTATAACTTTGCTCTGTAAATAACTCGAAGACAAATCCAAAGTATATCTGCCACACTTTTCCCTGCTTGGAATTGGTCTGCAAATCATTTTGAACAGAAACAAATAATAATAATCCAACCTAGCAAAATGCATTTACTTTACTCACCACACTAAGATAAAAAAAATTACCAAAACTTATTAATTGTTCATCAGTTATTTGTTATAATTATTAATATAATATATGAACAAACTTATGAATTTTATTCAAAAGTGACTCGGATGGCTGGACATTGAACTCTTTACAATACCTTTCAAATGATTGACGAAAAGATTCGAGGGCCGTCATTACTATATTTAATTAACTTTATTTCTTTTTGTTGTTGGTAGGTCCCACGAAGCAAAGGAATTACGTCGCGTCAAATTTATCATACGGTACGATAAAAAACTTCACGATTTGTAGCAAACTTTTAGAAATATTGTCCCAAAACTGAAATAACACCAAATTAACAGCGCAAACATTTCAAAACAAAATAATAAACAACTGAGAGAAATTCTGAAATTGTGGTTGCCAGGGAAGAACATGATAAACGCAGAGGAACAATGAACTGAGAACTTTGGTTGACAACAAGCACAACCATACATAACACACAAGGATCACATCTTGTAGTCAAACATAGGCTAACTTTACCATTATCACATATAATTATTTACCAACACAATCCACTGTTTTAATATTTGGCTTTAATTGCAGTACAATTCCATGAGTTTTTCTAAAAAAAAATCCATTCTATAAAAGATTCAATGAATTTATGATGGTAAAATCTGACAAGTTTAAAAGATATCCATGAGAAATTATTTACTAAAATAATAATGAATAAAAGTTAAAAAAATGTAACACAGTTATTGAATGCTACTTTATTCAGATATTGCCGAAAGAACGATGCCTTGCCCATCAAGTAATGTTACATAATGGTGAGATGGTACAGTCTGCCGTAGTAGACCATAACAATTGAATATTACACCGTAATGATATCAGTAACATATACCTAAATTGGTCCAATTGTAAAATCATAAGAAAATAAAATATAGTTCAGATCAAGTGATAATCTATGCTAGTTAACGGCAAGTAACATCCTATGAGAAGCGTATGTTATGTTGAAGTTCGTCGCCTGTGAAGGCAAAGTAAATTCCAGAGAGTTTAAACATATGGCGATTGATTTAAAATATTGTAAAAATTATACACAAAAAATAATTAATTAAATATTAAAATAAAAATGAGTGAGCATCAGGTAGTGATTCAATCAATCAATCAATCAATCAATCAATCAATCAATCAATCAATCAATCAATCAATCAATCAATCGGTGATTATTAATAATGAAGATTACAACGTGGATTGTTTCAAATGAACTCCTCAATTCGTTTGCAGCATCTCTTCAAGAATGTTAAAAAGACAACTTTCCTTAACAAATTCATTATCTATAAGGTTGACCAGACAATATTCGTCGTGGATTGTGTCGATGACGTTCCTCGATTCACTACCTTCATCATAAATGGCTCCCCAATATGATTTCCAAAGGCCAAACGCCTCATCCTGTTGAAATATGTTAAATACTTATATTCATTCCTATCATGATGACGATGACAAACATAGATGATGATGAAAACCTTCCAATATTTGAAGGCTACAGGGTCATACACGGTCGGTTGAACGATTTCCATGTTTGAAAAGACGCCCCAAGTCAAAGCACTTGGTTGCAGTTCGTGACAGTTTGTTATGTCAACTTCCTGCGAGTAAACGTATTATTACTTAGCTATTAATTAACATTTAATTACTATTTTATTAAATTATACGTACTATTATTCATTTCGTTACATTCAAGGTTTTTAAATGAAATAATAAGAACCACATCACAAAAATGACACAGATGCAAATAAATTATGTAGGAACGAATTGAAGCAAACTAGCATGGTTCGCAATAATGTGGTAGTTCACGTTAGGGTAACCATTCAGAATACTCTTCAGGCGGTCGACATATTTCAACGAGGTGAAAAACTCCAAATATGCCTGATGGTTTCGAATCAATCAATCAATCAACAAAATAAACCAAACAATCAATTGATTGATTGATTGATAAGAAAACACTAACAAAAATATTTGAAATCATACAATCATTAAAGTTTGAGAATATGACAGATTGATGATTTTATGACCCGAGCATTATACAACCTTTATATTTTGCGAACATATCGATCGTCGGACGCGTCTGTGCTATTTGCTACCCCAATGATCATTTAGTTATCTATGATTTTATTTACGTTCACTTAATAATCTTTGCATTTGCTGGTACAAATAGAGAAACTGGAGGAGAACCAGCCTGTCGTCTGTGAAGCTAGGCATGAGTTTGGAAATTACAAAAAACAATGTTGGAGTAGTTCAACGCAACCTATCCATTGAGTTGTTTGTTATTTGGATCTTACAAGCATATCGATCGTTGGACGAAAATACAACAAAAAATTGAAATGTGATTGAGCTATTAGACAGACCTTCTGATAGACATAACCGCCTGGATTGCCCCATCCATATATTGGGTGTGTGGAAGGGGCCCCATTAACAGCAGGTTGCGAGTTGATTGTTAGGACGCCTTGCTTATTTATCTTACCCAGTCGGTCCAACATGCAAGTCGTTTCTGAAGACAGGCCGCCCTCACTCCAAGGAATGCGAGTTACCTATGAGCGTGTGTGTGTGTAAATATAATTGCATGTGTGTGCATATATGTAAAGAAATGGCGAAGACGTTAATGATTAAATTGGTCAACAACACGAATATACAAAATGTTAATCTGTTAAGTTTATAACAATATTACATAAATAGCAACAAGAACTACAAGAAAAACACCATTAAATAATCACGCATATATGGTTAAAATAAGTGCAAGTGATCTAACAACCTTGTAGCCCTGCTTATTTTCCTTTGCAAGTAGGTAGCATTCAAATATATGCCAAACATCAACTTCACTTTCCAACTTGGCACCCCACATTTTAAGGAGTTCTTCTTTAGACGGCGCTGATTTCAAGTGGTACAAATAATGTTCATTCACGTCTCTGAATGATGCTGAAGCTGAATTCCCCCACCTGTTTCATGTTAACAGCAATGCAGTAAATGCATGTCGATAATAATTTTTAAAAATGTAAATAAAATAAGTGTACCTTCCATTGGGAAATTCTTCCCAACCCGAAGTTCTATAAATATAACTTTCAGGCCTTGAACTCCAAAATATAGGTCGCACGGTTTCCATGCACCTCACGTGATTGGCTGAAGTTTTCCAAGGTAGAGGTCGTTGAGGCCGAACTGCACACAATCCAAGAGATTTTAAAATGGCTAACGTTGCATATTCTCGGTTCAGTGTGTAAAAGTGCAATCCATTGACAACTCCACTATATTTACAAATAAATGAAGGTATACAATAGATGGACAGATAGGCACATTGATAAATATACATTAATAAGCATGTAGGATCAAAGATAGACTTGAACAGAGTTAGTTTGTAGCTGATGTAACATGTGCAACTTCTTCAAACTATTTAGAAAAGATTAATTAACAATAATCAAGAGAGAAATAAAGGTTGGAATGCAACCTGTTGAGTAGCTGTGAGCACATCTGGATGGCATAATCAATCCCAAAGTTTCTAACAGCTTCGTCGTTATCTTTAACTGCATGCAACTTGTCCCATATCTCCTGTGGGACTTCAAGTTTTGACAGACGTGATATGTTCTCCAGCGATTGGTAGGCCTGCGTGGGTGAGTCAATATGAAGGAATTAATACATCATTCTTGCATACATAGAAATATCAATCAATGAGCAAGACAAACCACTAATTTAAAGACTAAAGAAAACATTTGTTTTCAAAGAAATATTAAAAGGGCTAAGTCTGAGCATTAATCATTGTTCCCTACCTGTATTGGCATAATGCCCGGCAATATTGGACAGGTGATTCCAATTGATCTGCAGTCATTAACAAACTTGATGAAAGTTGATGTCTTGAAGAAAAGCTGGGTGATTATAAAATCGGCACCCGCATCTACCTTGGCCTTCAAATTTTCAAGGTCGGCTTTGTAGGAGGAAGCATCAGGGTGGCCTGTCGGGTAGCCTGCATGTAAATTGTTGACAATGTGTTCTAATCTTTACGATCACCCACCAATCAATTTGAAAATCAATCAAGCAACTAACCAGCAACACAAATAACAAAATAGTCTCCATAAGTTTTCCTGATGAATCGAACAAGATCAATTGCATGATTAAAACCATCATCAACTGGCTGCCACGACGAGCAATTGTGAGGAAGATCTTAAAAAATGATACAAACAAATTTCTCAAAAACAAATAATGGGCTACTAATTTTTATCTGATGTAATTACAACTACAATGAAGCAGTCTGAGACAACAATGAAATATTGAACAAAAAGAAATGGATTGAAAAGCGAGAAAAAAATTCAACCTCCCCTGAGGGCCAGAATATTTTTTAATCCAAGGATTTTTGCCTTGTTAAGAATTCTGATTATGTCTGACCTGCTCTGGCCAACACAAGTCATGTGCATCATTGTGTCAATTCCACAGTAACTCAGCATTGTGGAACCTTATCTCAAAATTTTATTAACACATCATCACGTCATGTTAATTATCATCAACAACAACTATCAAACAACTGGGAACATCATCATCACTATCAATTAACCTGTAGACATCATCTTCACCATTATCCCCATCACCAACTCACCTATTGTCATTGTGCTTGTTGGCGCATCAGAGCAATTATCTCCACCAGTTTTCCATGTTATGTCACAAAAAAGTGGGTTCATGGTAGAAGCCAGACGATCACATCTGATGTCATGGTGATGATGGTAATGTGGTGACGATGGTGGTGGTGCTGCTTGGTGAATATCGCTCAGACAGTACAAACCATTGCAATATTACCAATATTGTAAATAATCAAAAGCAATAAGCTGGTAAACAAAATAGTTGATCAAGATAGATATTTAATGAAAGGCACAAAAAAATTTCCTTGCTGACATTTTTATGAGATTAGCCGCACCATTCACAGTTTTCGGAGGAAAAAATTCGAAAGAACAAAAGGTGGCATTTTTTTTAATTCGATCGTTAATCCTATCTATGAGGCATCGATATTTTGTTGTTGGGAATTCTAGCTCATTATTGTTATTATTAAATGTTTCCACAGAATTCTCTCTAGAAATACTTTCTTCATTTTCATTCTGCTCTCCATTCTTAAAAGATGTTGAGGGTTCCATCTGCTGTTGCTGCTGAGGCATTTTTAAATTTATCATTCAAAAAATTGGGTAGATTCTATTTTCTAGTTTAATTTTTAGTATCGCCTGTGGCTTCACTTTCTTTTAAAATTCTTGTCTCTGAGAATGTTTTACAATTTAAAAAATTCAAATATAATAAAATTTGAAAAAAAGAAATGTAAAACTAAGCAAAGAAATAAAATAAACAATTTGAGAAACTAAAAAGAACAGAAAAAAAACAATGATCTCAATACTTTGCATGTATTTTTAAAAATAAGTCTTTTTTAAAATATTGAACCTCATGGTGGGATGAATAAGTTTAAATAAAATAAATCATCAATCAAAATCAATAATAGTTATAATACGCAAAAATAGTATAGCAAGAAAGTAGCACACCAGGAAGCTAAATATATTTTTTAAATGTATCATATTGTAAAATTTATAATTAAAATTTTGGAAATGAATTAATTATCATTTTTTTCATATAATTTATCATTTTATTCATATAAAATTTAGACTTGAAAAGAGAAGAAACTGTAATAAAAATTAATAATTTCATTACTTAAATCTTAATATTTAACTATAAAATATATAATTTTATGATATAATTATTATTATAAAAATGAATATTAAGATATTTTTTAATTTTACAATTTTTATTGATTTATTTTTTTCAAATGTAGCTAAATATTTTAATTATTAATTTTCAAAATAGATTCTAAAATAAAAATTATTTCATTTATTTATTTATTTTATTTATATAATTTTTTTATATAAATAATTTTTATTTATTAAAAGTAAATATGACGTAAATCGTAAAATTAACTTTAACCAGAATTAAGTCCCCCAATTAGAGACAAATTAAAATTTTACGCTTTAAAACGCTTTAAATTTAAAACGAAATTTTATAATTAAAAAAATTGTTGATTACTGTGATGAACGAAGAAGATTTAAAAGTGCAGCCAGCGACGACTGACGAGAAATGTTGGAGAGGAGTAATGTGCAGATAATCACTTTATTTATATAAACCATCAACCAATCACTGATCAACCATCTACATTAATATTAATAAGGTCAATTTTGAAAGATGGCCTGAGTTTTTTTCTTATTTGAATATAGTATAACATGATAAAAAATTAGAATAAATAAAAATTATGGCATATTAATACAATAGAGTCTAGGCTTTATCTTTGATTCTGTCTCTTTTTTCTCAGAGTAATAGTGTTGTTAGAAGTTCTTACTTTCATCCACATAGAATAAAAACACTTTTGTCTTTTCTTGACGATCCCAATCTTCTCCTTGTTACTTCGTTAGTCTTATCTAGGATTGATTATTGTAACTCGCTCTACTATGGTCTTCCTGATTCTACGCTCTATCAGCTCTTCTCGTTCTCACATTTTCTTAACTCGTGTTAAGCACTCTTTTGCTAAATCTGCATTTGCTATTGTTTGTTTTTTGTTTTTTGCTCACTGTTTTTTTTCTTCCAGAAATTCCAGATAATTCTAGTTAGGAAAATTGAAATGACAAACTTTAAATTTTTTTGTGCCAAAAATTCGTTAAAATTCATACAAGATTGTCGCCTTCCAGCACTACATACGCGTAAACATTCACCGCTGGCATTTTTTTCGATTCAAGCAAAACTTTTCCTAAATATTATTATTTTGATTTTGAACGCAGACTCAAAAATCTAACTCTTTGTAATAAATCAAAATCGAACATTCTACTTTTTCACATACCATGCATTGGACCTCGAATTAAGATTAGATAATTAGTTTTAGTTAGAAAATGATAGAGAATCGCATTTTTATGAAAACAAACAAGTGAAGAAGGAAAAGCACAAACTTGAACGGCATTTAGTGAGAAGCCCCCTCGCCACGTCAAGGCAGCCGTTCATGAGGGGGTTAATAATAAAACAACAGTCTAGAAATAATAAGTAACGAATGGTCTAGTAATAATAAACAACTTAACTAAACTTAACTAAAAGATAACGAAAATAAAATGGTGTTGATTGTTGTCGGATTGCTGTTGTTGGTGTTGTGTTGAATAAAAAACAATACAATACAAATAAACTAGAACATAAGAAAGAAAGAAGAGTCCCTAACTTACCTATGTTCACTAAATTAACTCACCTACCTATGTTCAACTAGCTCAACTTACGAATTAATCCTACCTATCTATACAATTACGAAGAAAATAGTGATAAAAAGAGGATAAAACATCAAGCAAACAAAACAGCGAGTATATGTATGTATGTGTGTATGTATGTGTGTGTATGTATGTATGTAGACCGCGCAATAATAACAATAAAATAAACTAACAAATCTAGAAATGATAAGTAACGAATAAATTTAGTAATAATAAGTAACGAATGGTCTAGTAATAATAAACAACTTAACTAAAATATAACGAAAATAATACTGTGTTGATTGTTGTGTTTGATTGTTGTTGTTGGTGTTGTGTTGAACAAAAAATAATACAATACAAATAAACTAGAGCGTAAGAAAGAAAGAATAGAGTCCCTAACTTACCTATGTTCACTAAATTAACTCACCTACCTATGTTCAATTAGCTCAACTTACGAATTAATCCTACCTATCTGTACAATTACAAAGAAAATAGTGATAAAAAGAGGATAAAACATCAAGCAAACAAAACAGCGAGTATATGTATGTATGTGTGTGTATGTATGTATGACCGCGCAATAATAACAATAAAATAAACTAACAAATCTAGAAATGATAAGTAACGAAGAAATTTAGTAATAGTAAGTAACGAATGGTCTAGTAATAATAAACAACTTAACTAAAATATAACGAAAATAATATTGTGTTGATTGTTGTGTTTGATTTTTGTTGTTGGTGTTGTGTTGAACAAAAAACAATACAATACAAATAAACTAGAGAGTAAGAAAGAAAGAATAGAGTCCCTAACTTACCTATGTTCACTAAATTAACTCACCTACCTATGTTCAATTAGCTCAACTTACGAATTAATCCTACCCATCTGTACAATTACGAAGAGAATAGTAAGAAAAAGAGGATAAAACATCAAGCAAACAAAACAGCGAATATATGTATGTATGTGTGTATGTATGACCGCGCAATAATAATAACAATAAAATAAACGAACAAATCTAGAAATAATAAGTAACGAATAAAATAAACGAATAAACCTAAAAATAATATTTAACGAATAAAATAAACGAATAAAATAAACGAATAAATCTTTAAATAACAAGCGACGAATAAAATAAACGAATAAATCTAGTAATAATAAGTAACGAACACGTCTAGAAATAATAAATAAGTTAACTAAAATGAAGAAATAAAAAAAGGGACCAGGCGCTAAGGGAATGCCCTAAAGTGCCCGGTCGGATTTCAACGCATTTTCGGCTCCTATTTATACCAGTCCCATTCATATATTCTTATCATTTCAATCATTGATATCAATAAAAAATGTTATTTAATGTATTGGAAACATTATTATATTTGTTTAATAACAATATATTAACTTTACTAAAATGAATTCAACGACCGCCTACTGACTTTCTGATGGGAAAGTTCGAGTATGTGTACAGTACACGTAATCTATTTGAATTCAAATTTAATCGAGATCACTCCTTTTTCACACAACAATTGAAAAATGAAAATATGTATTTCTTTTACTTAATTTCTTTTTTTATATTATACTTACAATCAATTCAATCATTCACATCTGTAAAAAGTTTATTGATTTAATGTTATTGATTTTTGATTTTATGTAATACACTAATATACATTCTTGACAACAAAGCTACTCAAACTTCGAAACAATCTGATTGATTGACTGGTTGGAACTGCTGATTTCTTTTTATGTAAACATATAATCTTAGTAATCTACATATAATCTACATGAATTCTAAATTCTTTATATATATTTATTATATAACTTCCTTATAAAACCAACAGAAATCAATGTTACATGTGTAAGTACATATGTATGTACGCGCGCGGATCAAATCAAATTATTCCGAGAGAATTCAAAATAATTTGACTTAATACACCTTACTTCAATTTAATTGTAAAATTTAAATGTATAAATATATATATATTTAATAACTACACATATTTATCTATTTATAGGAATCGAATACAATGTTTATTCCGGCTAATTCACTAACGTACTGTGAAACTACTTTTAAAATGACGTCATTTCCCCAAACGGTTTCGTTCCGAATTACCAATCCCGTTTCAATAATACTTATCTTTCAATAAATCTTAAAAACAAAGTGATTTAATAAAATTTAAAAAACTTCCTTCCATATGTTAGTTGATCGTACGATCATCATGTACGTGCTTATGTAGCTTATGTATGTGTGTATGTGCGCGTGCGTGTGCGTGCAAGTATAAGTAATGTAAGTAGGTGTAATTATACGAACTCGTTGAATAAGTATTATTACTGCATGGCTACTGACCTTTTTACTATTGCTATTATTAATTTCGTTACTATATCAGCGTCACATTAAAAAATCGTGCTATAATGTGTGTTCGGTGATACACAGGTAATGATAACAATTTAGTCAAATCATGATACTATATATCGAAAACATCAAGATTTCGAGCGGTACGGCCAATATTAGTGCCGACCGTTTTTTGTAGACCTTCTCGTAGAGGGTTCGATCGCGAGCAGAGTGTGAGAACAATTTTAACTGCGTGATAGACATTGAAATAGACATGGTAGAGTAAGAAAGGAGCGGTTTCAAGTACACCAGCTTGGACACGCTCACACACACACACACACACACACACACACACACGCACACACACACACACGCACGCACACACACGCACACACACAGAGCATACCAACCAAACAGTCAACCAAACTACCAACGAAACAACCGAACAACCAACCAACCAATGAAACAACCGATCTATCAACCAAACAGCCAAAGTATCAACCTTTCAACCAACCTACCAACCAGCCAGCCAAAAAACCAAACATACATACAAACAGATGTACAAAAAAAAATAAATACGCATATGTACGTGTTTTTTACAGGTACATATATATATTTTAAAATTGTTCAAGTAAGGAGCGGTGGCAAGTAAATTTGGAATTCATAACGACAAATATGTACAATTGTAAATACACAGGCATACAAATATCTAAAATAATTTTTTAAATAATAAATCTATTTAATAATTAAATAAAAATATTATTAATTCCGTGTGTACGTTATCCGGTTTTCAAACCAAATGAGCCAATCAGGAAGTTAGGGTGGCGTTCCTTAATTTCCTACCAGTATAGAATTCATTCTAGTATAGTTAACATATTGTGGTTAAACACTTATAATAATGTTTCATATACATTAAATAAAGTTTTTTAATGATGTCAATGATTGAAATGATAAGAATATATGAATGGAACTGGTATAAATAGGAGCCGAAAATGCGTTGAAATCCGACCGGGCACTTTAGGGCATTCCCTTAGCGCCTGGTCCCTTTTTTTATTTCTTCATTTTAGTTAACTTATTTATTATTTCTAGACGTGTTCGTTACTTATTATTTCTAGATTTATTCGTTTATTTTATTCGTTACATATTATTTCTAGATTTATTCGTTTGTTTTACTCGTTACTTATTATTTCTAGATTTATTCGTTTATTTTATTCGTTACTTATTATTTCTAGATTTCTTCGTTTATTTTATTGTTATTATTATTGCGCGGTCATACATACACACACACACACACACACACACACACACACAAACATACATACATACATACATATATTCGTTGTTTTTGTTTACTTGATGTTTTCTCTTTTCCTTACTTTTTTCTTCGTAATTGTACAAATA